TAGAGAACTTATCAAACTAAACACCCAAAAAACAAATAATCCAGTGAAGAAATGGGCTAAAGACATGAACAGACACTTTTCCAAAGACATCCAGATGGCCAACAGACACATGAAGTGATACTCAATGTCACTCATCATCAGGGAAATACAAATCAAAAACATAATGAGATACCACCTCACACCTGTCAGAATGGTCAACATTAACAACTCAGGCAACAACAGATGTTGGTGAGGATGTGGAGAAAGATCTCTTTTGCACTGCTGGTGGGAATGCAAACTCGTTTAGCCACTCTATTTTTTAAAAATGTTTTATTTATTTCTGAGAGAGAGGGAGAGGCAGCATGAGCGGGGAGGGCCAGAGAGAGAGAGGGAGACACAGAATCAGAAGCAGGCTCCAGGCTCTGAGCTAGCTATCAGCACAGAGCCCGATGCAGGGCTCGAACCCATGACCTGCAAGATCATGACCTGAGCTGAAGTTGGACACTTAACCATCTGAGCCAGCCAGGCACCCCTAGCCACTCTTGAAAACAGTATGGCAGTTCCTCTAAAAGTTAAAAATAGAACTACTCTACAACCCAGCAATTGTACTACCAGGTATTTATCCAAGGGATACAGGTATGCTGTTTTGAAAGGATGCATGCACCCCAGTGTTTATAGCAGCACTATCAACAATAACCAAAGTATGTAAAGAGCCCAGATGTCCATCAATGGATGAATAGATAAAGAAGATGTGGTATATATGTACAATGGAGTATTACTTGACAATCGAAAAGAATGAAATCTTGCCATTTACAATTATGTGGAGGGAAATAGATGGTATTATGCTAAGTGAAATTAGTCAGTCAGAGAAAGACAAATATCATATGGCTTCACTTATCTAAGGCCTTTAAGATACAAAACAGATGAAGGTATGGGAAGGGAAGCAAAACTAATATAAACAGGGAGGAGGACAAAAGCATAAAAGACTCTTAAATACGGAGAACAAACAGAGGGTTACTTGAGGAGGTGTGGGAGGGGGCATGGGCTAAATGGGTGAGGGGCATTAAGGAATATACTCCTGAAATCATTGTTGCACTATATACTAACTAACTTGGATGTAAATTAAAATAATAAATGAAATAAAAATTATTAAAAAATTAATTATGGCTATTGTTATTTACCAAGGATAGTCACTTTTACCCTTCTACTAAAAATAATACTGTGAGTTGCAGCCAAGCCGCTCGGGCAAGAAAAAGAAATAAAAAGCATCCACATTGGAAGAGGAGAATTAAATATCTTTGTTCACAGATATGATCTTTTATGTAGGAAAACCTTTGAAGTCCACTAAAAAATTGTTAGAACTTATAAATGTATTCATAAAAGTAGAATACAAAGTCAGTACACAAAATTCAGTTGCATTTTTGCACACTGACAGTGAGCAATCTGAAAAGGAAATTGAGAAAATAATTCTGTTCTGTGTCTCTAGAGTAAGAGACATATCTAGCAAAAGGTTGCTACGGCTAATGTCAAGGAAGTTAACTTCCTGAGTTCTCTTCTAGGATTTTTATGATTTCAGGTCTCCCATTCAGGTCTTTATCCCAGGAGTGCACTTATCGTGATAAGCACTGAGTGATGTATGGAACTGTTGAATTACTATATTGTACACTTGAAACTAATATAACATTGTATGTTAACTAACTGGAATTAAGATTAAAAACTTAAAAATAAAGACTAAGATATTTAAGAATTAGCCAAGAATGTGAAAGACTTGTACAATTAAAACTACAAAACATTGCTGAAAAAATTTTAAAAAGAAAGCATTTATTTATTTATTTTTGTTTTATTTTATTTTATTTTTTTACAAATAGTTTATTGTCAAATTAGTTTCCACATAACACCCAGTGCTCATCCCCACAAGTGCCCTCCTCCATGCCCATCCCCCCTCCCCCCCACATCCATCAGTCCTCAGTTTTTGTCAGCATTCAAGAGTCTCTCATGGTTTGCCTCTCTCCCTTTCCCCCACCATTTCCCCCCTTTTTCTCCCCCTTATTCTTCAGTTAAGTTCCTCCTAATCCTCCTATACGTGCAAACATATGATATTTGTCCTTCTCTGCCTGACTTATTTCGCTCAGCATAACACCCTCAAGGTCCATCCATGTTGCTACACGTGGTCAGATTTCATTGTTTCTCAATGCCATGTAGTGTTCCATGGTATAGATAAACCACATCTTCTTGATCCATTCGTCAGTTGATAGACACTTAGGCTAAAAAGAAAGCATTTAAATGAAAACATACCCCATGTTCATAGATTGGAAGACTTAATATTGTTAAGATGCCCATACTACCCAAAGCGATCTATAGATTCAGTGCAATCTCTTATCAAAATTCCAATGATGTTTTTGGCAGAAGTAAAAAAAAAAAAAAATCTGTCCTAAAATTCATATGAACCCTTGAGGCACTGCTGAATAGACATTCAGTCTTAAAACAGAAGAACAAAGCTGGAGGACTTACACTTCCTGATTTCAAAACTTATTACAAAGCTGCAGTAATTGAAGCAGTGGAGTACTGGAATGAAGACAGATATACAGACCAATGGAATAGAATAGAGTCCAAAAGTAAACCCTCATATATATGGTCAACTGACTACTTTATAAGGGCACCAAGACCAAGTGGGGGAAAGGACAGTCTTTTCAACAAACGGTGCTGGGAAATTTGGATACCCACATGCCAAAAGAATGAAATTAGTCCCTTACCTTCCACCATATACAAAAATTAACTAAAAATGGATCAAAGGCCTAAATGTAAGACCAGAAACTATCAATTTCTTAGAAGAATACCCAGAGCAACAGGTTCATGATACTGGATTTGGCAGTGGTTTCTTGGCTATGACACCAAATGCACATGCAAAAAAAGAAAAATAGACAAAATGACCTCATGAGTATTAAAAAAAAAAAAAAGAGCATCTGGGTGCCTGGGTGGCTCAGTCGGTTAAGCGACTGACTTTGGCTCAGGTCATGATCTCACAGTTTGTGAGTTCGAGCCTCGCATCAGGCTCTGTGCTGACAGCAGAGCCTGGAGCCTGCTTTGGATTCTGTGTCTCCTTCTCTCTCTCTCTCTCTGCTCCTCCCCCACTTGTGCTCTATCTTTCTCTGTCTCTCAAAATTAAATAAATGTCAAAAAAATGCATCAAAAGAAAATATTAACAGAGTAAAAGGGCAAACCACAGAATAAGAGAAAATGATTCCAAATCATATATGTGATCCAGAATATATAGAGAACTCTCAAACTCAACAACAACAAAAAAATCTAATTAAAAAAATGGGCAAGGGACTTGGATAGACATTTGTCTAAGACAATATAAAAATGGCCAATAAGACATGAAAAGATGTTCAACAGCATAATCATTAAGGAAATGCAAATCAAAACTAAAATGAGATACTACCTCAAACTCATTAAAATGGTTACTGTCAAAAAAAACCTCCAAATAGCAAGAGTTGGTGAGGATGCGGAGTAATTAGAATCCTTGTGCACTGTTGGTGAGAACGTATAATGGTATAGCTGCTGTGGAAAACAATATGGCAGTGCCTCAGAAAATTAAAAATAGACTTGTCAGATGGTCCAGCAATTCCACATTTAGGTATATAGCCCAAACAGTTGAAAGGAGGATCTTGAAGAGATATTTTTAGAGCCATATTAATAGCAGCATAATTCAAAATAGCTAAAATGTGAAAATAATCCAGGTGTTCATTAACAGATGAATGGGTAAATAAAATGTGGTATACACATACAATAGAATATTATGCAGCCTTAAAAAGAAGGACATATAGTACAATATTGATGAACCTGGAAGACATTATGCTATGTGAAATAAGCCACCCACACAATGACAAATACTGTATGATTCCACTTATATGAGGGACACAGAAGAATCAAAATCATAGAGACAGAAGGTAGAATGGTGGTCACCTGAGACTGGAGGAGAGGAGAATGAGGAGTTATTATTAATGAGTATTGTGTTTCAGTTTTACAAGACATAAGAGTTCTGGAGATATATGGTGGTGATGTTGCTCAATATTATGACTATATTTAAATCCTTTGAACTGTATACTTAAAAATGGTTAGGATGGTAAAGTTTATGTTATGTGTATTTTACCACAATAAAAAAATGGGCAAAGAACAGCAAGAAAGAAAGAAAGAAAGAAAGAAAGAAAGAAAGAAGCAGAAAAAGGAAGGAAAAGCAAAAGCTATATGAATGGTAGGTTTATATTTTCTGTATTTTAAGAATATGTTCTAACATTTCCTAAAATTACAATTACTGTGGAAGGCCCTTTATTTCACTCCCACTGTGATTTTCTCCAAAGAAATGTTTTTATATGGGAAGTTTTTGACTTGAGAAATATTTCTCAGGGTTTTTCCACATTGGAGTCACTGAAGAAAATGAATCTTCTACATTTAACTTTCTGTAGTGTCAGAAACTTATTTGTAGATGTATTTTAGTCCAAATGACTCAACAGTAGCTATCACGAAGATACCTGTGTGTGAGGAAAGTAATTTGGCCTATTTAGAACTGGTAGTGGCTGTTAGTGCTTTCCTTGCAGACAGTTTGGTTCAATTCCAGGAAAACATGCTGACAGAATATTAAATCTCACACAGTGAAAACTAAGACGTAACCATGGACATCCCTGTGGGATGTCTTCCTCTATGCGGTTTTTTGGCTATGGATTAATAACTGCATTTGTCAGGGTTAATTTTATTTCTTAGTGAGTGAGATTATATCCTACACATCAGTATTTGCTTTTCCCCTAGATTATAGACCGTTTTTGGTGCTGACTTCTATTGGCAGCTATTTTGAACAACTTTGCTCCAGGAAGGTCTGGATGTCTCCTTCCCATATTTTTCCTTTGAACTTTTTGGTTTAATTTTAGAATTTCTATTTTGTGCTCACACAGACTGTTAACCTATTCTGATCAGTTGGCCATTCTAACATGTTTTTTTTTTTCTTTCTGTCTTATTTAATTTAGAGAGAATATCCAATAGAGAAGCAGAATATATTTTTGGAATGAATGAGGTAAGTTAAATGTATATATATTATCTTCTTATAAGTCAGGACAAAAAATCAAGACAAAGTTGGAAATGTACTTTGTATGAATACTTAACATCTTTGTACTTCAGTTATTTACTTATACTACATTAACTTTATTATGTCCTCTAGTGTATTTGCATTTTTGGTAAAGAAAGCAAATTCCATGTTTCATGCAGATATTCTATCTTGGTATTTATAATAAGGGAGCAAATAGAAGTATGGATTTGTTTTGATGCTCCCTGTGAACAAACTCAGATATGCTAAGTCTCTCTGTGCAAGAGAATAGTAATTGGGCTCAAAACTTTGCTAGAGGATAATGCAGGGAGGATATGGGACAGCTTTTTATGTTGCTGTTACTCGTATGTGATGAATGCTTATTCGTTCCAGTGACTCAACTCAAATTAACTAAATATATTAAATGAAATAATAAATAATAAAATGAAATACAACTTATAAAAATAAAAAATTATTAAAAAATTTTATAAAAAAACCTAAAGCCCTTATTTTATTTATATAAACTTGTAAAAAGGTCCTACAATTTTAGATTTCTTTATATATAGAGTATAAGCATTCTAAAGGTATTTTGGATCAAATAATCTTTCTGCTAGGCTCTACACTACTCACAGAGGTAGATTTCCTTGAAACGGGATATGGGTGACCAGCCGGACAGAAAAAAGTTTCTTTAAAATTATTTTTTTTTATGAATGACCAAAATTCCAACCCTGGGAAAACAAGCCACCAGAATAGGTTGGCTGTTGCTAGTTAGCTGCATAGACTGGCTGGGTAAGCTCATTGCTGAAGATTCCCAAAAGTTCTGGGGTTCCTTTAAAATCAGTGACCAAAATGCTGAGAGAAATAGAATATGAGAACCAAGGGGACCATGAAAATCATTCAGTCCAGTGATTTTTACAATGCAATTTGCAGACCGCCTGAATAACATTTATATTAAAAATTTCTTAAAAATGCAGACTCCTGGACCCAACCTTACACAATTAATCATATTGTTGGGGAATAAGGTTATGGAGTCATGATTTAGAAGTAACACCCCAGGTGATTTTTATTGCTACTAAAGTTTGAAAACCACTGTCATAAACAGAATCTCCACAACTAGAATGATGTAATGTGGTGCAGGGAGTAGGTTTATTAAATGAGTAAGTGAAGATGTTAAAAATAACATGAAAAATTAAAGTTTGTATGTCTTTGGAGTGGGCTGAAGAAAGTTATTGTGTGAGACTGATTCAATTTAAATGATAATACATACGTTGTCATTTTCATTTGTTCACATTGATATAATAGTAATATACTCCTCACAGATCTCTATATATATTGCTCAAGTTAACTTCCATTACAGTTCATATTCTGAGCATTTTATATTTATATATATTCTAAACTTTTATAAGAGAAAAACAATTTCATCAAGTCATATTTGTTCTAGTCCCTAACCCTTTGCACATTTTTTAATGTTATTTATTTTTGAGAGAAAGAGAGAGAGAGAGCATAGGGGAGGAGCAGAGAGCAAGGGAGACACAGAATCCAAAGCAGGCTCCAGGCTCTGAGCTGTCAGCACAGAGCCCCATGTGGGGCTCAAACTCATGAACCTGGGCTGAATCCAGACGCTTAACACTTAACCGACTGAGCCACCCAGGAGCCCTTCCCTTTGTACTTTTAAAGAGCAGTATTGTTTACTTGCATTCAACCTTGGATAGGTCTTCATTGGATACAATTTTGCTTAAATTTTTAAGGGTTTACATTTGGCTTGCCACACTGAGAAATGTATCCAATTAAATTTAAGCCACAGTATTTAGAAATACCATATGTCGGGACACCTGGGTGGCTCAGTCAGTTAAGCATCCGACTTTGGCTCAGGTCTGATCTCACTGTTTGTGAGTTGGAGCCCCACATCGGGCTCTGTGCTAACAGCTTGGAGCCTGGAGCCTGCTTCAGAATTTGTCTCCCTGTCTCTCTGACCCTCTTACCACTCATACTCTGTCTCTGTCTCTGTCTCTGTCTCTCTCTCAAAAATGAATAAACATTAAAAAAATAGAAATACTATATGTCTCAATTTTTAGCTCTTTTTTTATATAAGCTTTACTTTTGTTGGGAAAGCAACAAGTGAAAGGGGAATTGATTCAATTTTAGGAGAATAGCACTTTTTTACCAACCTGCCCTTTACACTCAACCTAAAGTCCTGTCCAGCATACCTTTTTTCACATAAAACACTTTGGAATAAAAACAGCATTTCTCTGCAGCATACTTGAAGAATGCCTAGTAAATTTTGGAATTATTAAATGGGTATGTTATTGAATTAATCAGTTCAAAAGTGACTGTAGCTTTTGCTTCCAGAAAGATGGAGCAGACACAACTTTCTGTGTTCTTCTTCTAAATACTACTAAAAACCCTGGACATTATATATAAAACAGACTGGACATTATATATAAAATATTATATATAAAAAAGAATACTTTGAAAGTTAGAGAGAAGAAGAAAACTGTCTAGTGACCTCAGGACCCAAGGAACAACACTGAACTTAATTACCTAGGTTTTCTGTTCACTTTATATATTACAGACTGGGTGCAGGAGAGGCATGGTCTCTCTACCATTTCTTGCAAAAGAGCTTGAGTGAGGAGACTAGACTTTAACCTCCATCTGGTGGTAACAAGATGCCCCAACTCCTCTAGAGTTTGTGCCAAAGAATTCTGAATGGGAAGCCAGGACTTTCATCTCCATTGGATGCTAATGTGTCCCTCCTCACCATCCTCTGTGTGATGTCAGTGTAGACCATGTAAGCAGTGTAGACTTCTACTCTCATCGGTAGTAACAAGGTGCCCAACCCTCTCCTGCAGTGTTGGTATCAGAGGTAACCCGAGGAGAGCCAAGAGTTTCACCACTGTCTAGAAGTAGAGAAGCCACCCCATACCACTCCCTGCCCTGGTACCAGTGAAGGCCATGTGAGGAACAAGAGAAGGCATGCCCTGACTAGCTAGCTTGAGATCAGTGAAGGTCTAACAATAACTTTGAACTCCAGCCACATTGATGAGAAATGCTTCTACCACCTTACCACTCCCTCATGTCCATGGAGGCTGAGTGGGGAACCTGGACTTCTGCCTGCATCAGAGAGTGAGGCTTCAGTCCCCCTTCACCCACCAGAGTGGTGTCAGAGGAACTTAATAAAACATGACATTTCAATAAAGTCTAGACTCATAACATAGTACTCTGAAGTCCAGATTTCTGGAGAAAAATCACATGTAATACAAGGAACCAGAAGGATATCAATTTGAATGAGGAAAGACAGATAGCAATGCTTAGCTGACACAGATGCTAGAATTCTTAGCTAAGGATTATAAAGCAACGATGATAAAAATGCTTCAGGGAGTATTTGTGAACATTCTTTGAACAAATAAAAAAATAGAAAGTCTCGGTAAAAAAAAAAAAAAAAAATTTAAAAAAGAAAAAAAAAGAAAATTTAAAAAAAAAAAAAAAAAAAAAAAAAAAAAAAAAAAAAAAAAACCTCAACAGCAAACTGGAAAGGATAAAAGAAAGGATCACTGAATTTGGAGATACAGATTCAAGAAGCTGAGGGAACCACAAAAATGAAAAAAAATACAAAGAAATTCACACCAATTCACAAAACTAAATACAAGAGAAAGAAAATATTGAAAGTAATGAGAGGGAAACAATACCCTTAATTGTGGGGGGAACAATAAATAAAATGACAGCAGATTTCTTATCAGAAACCATGGAGGCTGAAAGAACTGGTAAACATGTTTTTTCAAGTGCTGAAGAAGAAGAAGAAAGGAAGGAAGGAAGGAAGGAAGGAAGGAAGGAAAAGAAAGAAAGAAAGAAAGAAAGAAAGAAAGAAAGAAAGAAAGAAAGAAAGAAAGAAAGAAAGAAATTGATGATATGAATAGTCCCATTATTATTAAGGAAATCAAATGAGTAGCTTAAAAACTTACTCTTCCAAAGAAATCTCTAGGCCCAAGTGGTTTCACTGGAGAATTCTACCAAATGTTTAAAGAATAATTAACATGAGTTTTGTACAATCTCTTCCAGAAAATGAAGAGGAGTGAACACTTCCCAATTCATTTTAGAGGCTTGCATTAGCCTGGTACTAAACCACACAAAAATAATACCCAAAAAAGAAAACTACAGGCTAATATTTTTCATGATCATAAACACAAAAATCCTTAGTAAAATACTAGCAATAGAATATGAAAAGAATTTAATGCTCTCACCAAGTGAAGTAAGTATATCTAATGATGGAAGGCTCATTTATTGTACAAAAATCAGTCAATGTATCTCATCATATTAATGGCTAAAGAATAAAAATCAGAAGATTTTATCTATTTTTTCAGAAAAAAACATTTATTATTTTATACAAACACACATATCTATCTGTATCTATATCATCTATCTATCTATCTATCTCTATATCTCAGAAAACCAGGAATAGAGAGGAACTTCCTTACTTGAAAAAGAACATCAATAAAACATCAACATCATATTAAGTAATAAAAGACTGAATCTTTCCCACTAGGATCAAAAGCATAGCAAGAATGTCTTCATTTATTCCTCCTATTAAACATAGTACTGGAAATTCTTGCAGTAAGGTACGAAAGTAAAAGGCAGATGGATAAGAAAGGAATAAATAAAACTCCGCCAGGTGACTTGGTGGTCATTTCTATTTAGGAAAATACCAAGAAATCTATAAAACAAGCAAAAAAAAAAAAAACAAAACCCTCCAAAACCCAAAATGAAACCAAACCAAACCAAACCAAAACAGAAAAACCACCAAGACTGTCCTAAAACTAAGAAACAAATTTCATACAGAAATCAATTTCATTTCTATATATGAGCTGTGAACATGTGGAAGCCCAAATAAGTATATAGGTTAATGCAGTTACTATCAAAGTCTCAGCAAGACTTTTTGTAGACATAGACAAAAGTGTTCTAAAATTTTATGAAAATGCAAAGTAGAGGAGGAGATAAAACAGCTTTGAAAAATGAAAATGGAATGAATCACTCTACCCAATTTGAAAGACTTTTTTTTTAGCTACAGCTTAATCAATATATTGTGGTACTTGCAGAGGTCAGCATGTAGATTAATGAAGGAGAATGGAAACTGTAGGAATAGTCCCACACAAGCACACCCAAATGATTTTGGACAAATGTGTAAAAACAACTCAACAGAGGAAGAATATCTTTTCAGCAAATGGTGCTGGAGCATTTGGATATCCATAGGCAAAATAGACTTCCTCACACCTTATACAAAAATTAATTCAACGTTGATCATACAGTTAAATGTAAACTAAAACTTAAAAATTATTTTAAATGTTTATTTTTAAGAGAGAGAGTGAGAGAGAGAGAGAGGGAGGGAGAGAGAGAGAAAGAGAATGAGAGAATCTGACGCAGGCTCCAGGCTCTGAGCTGTCAGCACAGAGGCCGATGCAGGGCTAAAACTCACAAACCGCAATTATGACCTGAGCTAAAGTCAGACGTTTAACCAACTGAGCCACCCAGGCATCCAAAACTATAAAGCTTTTTGAAGAAAAAAAATAGAAAATTTTTGGAAAGTAGGTCTCAATGAAGATTTCTTAGACAGGACACAAAAGCTTGATACATGAAAGAAAAATTGATAAATTGGATTCTTTCAAATTTAAGAACTTTTATTCTTTGAAAGCGCCTGTTAACAGGAGCAGACAAGCTATAGACCTGGAAAAAATATTTGCACATCAGTTCATGTGGTTTTATAAAGAAACAGCAAAACCCAATACTAAAAAACAACCAAACCAAATGGGTAAAATACATGATGGTGTATTTCCCTAAAGAGGATATGGATGGCAGATAAATACATGAAAAGATGTTCAGTATCACTAACAATTAGGGAAATTGCAAAATAAGACCAAAGGGAGGTACCACTGTATGCCTATTAGAACAGTTAAAATGGAAAATCATGACAATACTAAGTACGGGTGAGAATGTGGAGAAAATGGATCTCTCATACATTGCTGGTGGGGATGTAAAATGGGGCAGTCATGCTTGGAAACTGTGGGGAAGTTTCTTAAAAACTAAGCATACAGTTACCCTGTGACTCCATAATCACACTCTTGGGCATTTATCCCACAGGAATGAAAACTTATAATCATACAAAAACCTTTGCATAAGTGTTTTTAGCAGCTTTATTTGTAGTAGCCCAAAGTAGAGACAATCCACGTCACCTATAGTAGGTGACTGGTTAACTGTAGCCTCGGATTACCATGGAGTACTACCTGCCACTAAAAACAAACAAACTATTGATATGCACAACTTAGATGGATGTCCAGGGCATTATGCTGAATGAAAAAAAAAAAAATCTCAAAGGCCGCATACTGTATGATTCTATTTTTATAGCTCTCGAAATGACAATATTATAGAGATAAAGAAAAAAATTAGTGGTTGGCAGAGTTTATAGATGTTCAGGGGGAGGAGAATAGATATAAGTTTAATGGAGGAGCACAAAGGAGATCTTTGTGGATAGAATTGCTCTGCATCTTAGCTGGGCTGATTCTTACTCGAATACACACATGTGATACAACAACACTGTACGAACCACACACATTGCGCACATGTCAGTTTCCCAGTTTTGATGTTGTTCCATAGCTCTGTGAAGCATTCGTCATTGGGAGAAACTAGGTGGAGGGCACATGGGATTTCTCTGAGGTCTTTGCAAATTCCTGTGAATCTATAAGTGTTTCAAAATGAAAAGTAAAAAAATAAGTGAATACAACTTATTTAACTTTTCCTCAGTGCCAACTTGATTTCCTTTTATTGACACTCAAATGCTATAAAAACACAAAATCTACATTGCAGTCAATTTTTTAATAAAACATATTAAAAGGAGAATATTCATTCAAGCTTTGGATTGAGGCAAAAATGACTAGAATAATTCAATTTAGTCCATTAAATTCATAGCTATGAATCTTTGGGCCTTTTACAAGACATAAACATTCTAGGATCACTATTTTAAAATTGTTTCATACTTTCAAATAATCTCCACTTTCAAGATTGTTTAAACTTTAAAAGGACTAAATTCTAGAGTATTACCTCTGACTTACAATTAATGTAGGTCATCACTGAACATTGTTATAATTTTTTTGGGGATCCAGAAAATGCATGTGCATTAATTTATGGTATGATAAATATATTAAACTTATGATATTGTCACTAGAAATTAAGCAAAACTTAATTTTCACATGTTTCTTTATTTTTTTGAGAGAGAGATTGAGAGAGAGCATGAGCAGGGGAGGGGCAGAGAAAGAGGACAGAGAATCCAAAGCAGGCTCTGCACTGACAGCAGAGAGCCCGATGTGGGGCTTGAACCCGCAAACCGAGATCATGACCTAAGCTGAAGGTGGACCCTCAACCGACAGTCACCCAGGTGCTCCAAAGCAAAAATTAATTTTAAAATGTCAACATTTACTGAGGTCTTCCCATGTGTTACCATATTTAATATCACTATATTGAAATTATGGCATGGAGATGTTAACTTGCTCAAGTTTATATATATAAAGTAATTAGTTTTGTGTAATTGAAGAAAAAAGTTTTGTGTAATTGGGACATTATGAAGAATCAATAAAATGAGTCCATCCATAAAATTCTGGTAATGGAATTCTTAACCCAGGTGTGGCTAATTCTAGAGCTTGCTCTCTTAATCACTCTACAGTATTCTTTTTAAAAATTTTTTTAAAATTATTACATTTATTTATTTTGAGAGAGAGAGAGGGAGAGACAGAGCATTAGCAGGGGAGAGGTAGAGAGAGAGGGAGACACAGATGCTGAAGCAGGCTCCAGGCTCTGAGCTGTCAGCACACAGTCTGACGCAGGGTTCAAACCCACAAGCCTTGAGATCATGATCTGAACCAAGTCAGACACTTAACCTGCTGAGCCATACAGGTGTCCCTACAGTATTACTTCTTTAAGAATCCTATCTAGAAGGTTTTTTTTCTTCTGAATTTTAATCTACAAATAATTGCTTCTTATGTTTAGATTAGTCAGGATTGCTACTTAGTTTTTATAGTGAGCATTGCCATGTTCATTTCATTTCATTGCATTTCATTGCATTTCATTTCATTTCATTTCATTATTTCATTTCATTCAATTCCTTAGTTATTGGGGTCAGGGAAGGAGGCAGCCTGAGACAGAAAAGCCAATGCTGTTGAAGAGGGAAATGTAGACTTGAGAACAGCACAGATTTTCCTTTGGCCTGAGACTAAGGTCAGTGACAAATGAGATTATGAAATACTCAGCAAAGAGTATGAAAGAAAGTATGCGAATTTTGCTTTGCAGTCAGCTTTTGTGTAGAAAGTCACAGCAAGCTCGGATTTCCTACAGTGAGAGATTGTAAAGTGACTAGACTTGTTGCTTTTGGGACATTTAATATATGTGTTTTTTGTACCTTCTTGTAAGTTAAACAACTGAATGTTCTATAGCATAATTGAAAATAATTATGAGGAGTCAACATAAAGTAGAGCTATCATAAATTCATATACTGTCTTAAAGGCAAGAAATGTAGATGCTTAATTTATTGCTAGAGGCTGCCGTTTCAGAATCGAGTGATCAAGAAACTCATTAGCTCACATCTGACGTAGTTAACAGAATTCATCTAAGGTTTGTGGGCAGATCACACATCAGTGAAAGAGGATTTGAGCATATTATTTACTCATAGTCTCAGTCTACCCTACTTCTTCCCACTGGTTCAATATAGCTTTTATACGATGAAATTCTTTTCGTGGAATTTATTTTGAATTCGATAATATGAAAATCGATAGGTGCTCAAAATTCTCTTCCTTGTCTTCCTTAAGAACACAGATAAATTACTGTTTGTTTTTTTTTTTGGTGTGTGTAGCACTTTCTGCAACTTGGCTTATGTAGCATTGGATGTATTTCCCAGATGCTCTTTGAGTTATTTTGCAAAACTATGTCAATAGTACTTTGTATCTCCTATTTTCAGAACTGGTCTGCCCAACATCACCCAGGCATAAATGAGATGCTGTTTGTGATTTTCCAAGAGCCAAGCAAATGAAGTCTAGTCATGAGTTTTGGGTCATTTTGCTGGCGGCTGCCTCTCCAGGCCGCCCGGCTGTTCCAGTCACTAGAGAATGACGAGAAGTGACGGGGAGTGGTCCCTGGAGCACGTGCTATGCTGTGCAATCTGTCATGGATCATGAGGGTTTAAAATCCACTGTATACCAAGGGAGGGATTGCTATTGCTTTAATTACAGGTGTTTTGTGTGTCTTTATATCCATGCATGGCTTTTTCCTTGGGTTGTAAGTACAGATCTTTAGAAATTCTGGTGGTGTGTTTCCTAAGGTATTCACTTTAATGATTCCAAACAAATGCTCAAAGGCCTAAAACAGCCGATCGATCCTACCCTTCGTTGTGGTCCTGTTCAGGGCTCCGTATCATGAAAACAATGGCACTCCTTGTTTTTTCTCTGTAATATAGTAGTCCTTAACCATTTCTTGCCTCTCAGATTTTTTTTTATGATTTGATAAAACAGCCTCCAAAATTATCATTCTCTCTCAAGCTCTCTCTGTCTATACACACATACACAACACGCACACATGCATGCATGCACACATGAGCATGAACACACATGCACATGTATCCACATATCCACACACAGTTTTGCATTCACTTTCGTAAGTCCTCTGAATTAACTGCAGGTTTAGTATTTGAGTATTGAGAACATGGAATTTTTGTTGAAAGTGATATGCTCCCTACTTGCATTATGATTAATGGCATTATATCTTCCCCACGGCGCTGTTAGCAGTCCCTGAGCAGCAGAGAGACCAGCTTTCTCATCACTGAAGAACCAGCGGTAAGCATCAGTCAGTACGATACTTTCCTGCATGGACACAAATGGGGTATTATTTTGTAGCCTGAGATGGAGATGCTCTGTTTCCAGGTCACAGTTATTTTTCAGGTCATCATATATGAAATTTGAGAATTAATTACTTTTGGGGAAAAAACTAGTTTCTTATGGGGAAAAAGTAACACAAGACATATTAATGAGAAAGACAAAGCACGGTCATTTGCTTGCATTTTAGTTTCTCAGTTTTACAAATGAAGAAAGATGAAGGGTCTGAGGGGCTTAATGAACTTATTAAAATTACCCATTATGTTTGAGAGGCAGATTCGGGACTAGAACTGGAATTTCTGAATTCTAGTTTAGTATTGTCTCTTCATACCTCGTTTCTTTCACCTGTAAGTACATGCCTAAGAATAATCGTGAAGTATAGTTTGTTAAAAATCAAATTTGAATATCAATTAAGAGGTTAGTAAAGGGATTTAAACATTTTCACTAATTACTTAGTAAAAAAAGAAAGATGATGTTTGGGAAGATGGGAAAATAGAGTTCTATTCTTATAGTGACAATTTTAACATAGGTGATATTTTGCTTTTCACTAGCATACTGGTCTTTAATCTTCCAGAATGAAGGTTGTGGTTTGATCAGTTATAATAATTGAAACTTTGCTAGGTTTTCTTTGTTTTGTTTGTTTTATCATGTGAAACATTTATATGATGCCAAAGTTTAAAACCATAGATCAAATAAGGTTGGGTGGAGCCTAAAGCTTATGCTATTTTGGTATCACTATGAGAATAGTGGTACAATAATGTACCTCTAAAAATTCATAGAATACTTGACCATGAGAACAAATTGCTAGAATGTCCTTCTAAATCCTTGGAAGGGCTGGTACAAGCAAGAAACCATGAAGCATTGCCTTCATTAGCTTGAATGTAAATCTATCACGAGATGAAATTATGAAAAAATTTCAGGGAAAATTCTCTTCCTTTTTTTTCCTTCTTAATCCTCTATAATAACCATTTTATATTTCATTTATCCTTTTAATGTGTCCTTTACTTTTCCACGTGTGTGTGTGTGTGTGTGTGTATACAGATACATATGTAAATGTATATTCCTCCTGCTTGTTACACTAGAGCCATCATGCTAAATAGACTGGTCTGTTCCTTGGTTTTCACTTAAAAGCATATCCCAGAGTTCATGCAATATTATATATAGATTTCATTCCCATTCATTTGTGTGTTGCATAATATCACATTCTGGGGGTTTAGCGTGGTATATTCATTCAGTCCCTTTATTGATGTACATTTGAGTTGTTTTTAATCTCTTGTTATTACAAATACTGTTATAATATATACCCTAGGGAATCAATCTAGCAATATTTTGGTCAGTGCTATCTTTCTAAATAGGATTTCAGTATTAAAGAATAAACAAATATGTAATTTTGCCATATATTGCCAAATTCCCCCCTGTTTTGCATTTCTAACAAGTGTAGGAGAATACCTATTGCCTACAGCCTCATCAACAATGTGTTGTCTTGAGTTTAGATTTTTGCCCATCTGATAGTGAGATAGCTAGTAGCTGTTGGGAGCCCTTTCAGTTAGCTGTGTATCTTAGTGTGGTTTAAATTTGTATTTCTCTCAGTGAGTGAGATAGTCACCTTTTCCTATGTTGATGGTCACTTAATTAATTTATTTTTTATAAATCTGTTCAGTTATCCTATTTTTTTGTCAAACTGTTGGTTTTTTCTTTTTTCTTTTGAATTTTTTGGAGATGTTTACACATTTATTGTTATCCCTTGCCCGAGATATGAGTTGCAGGTAATTTTCCAAGTGTGTCATATGCCAGTAATTAAAATTATAGATCCCAAATGATTTTAAAGTGATTTATGGTATTTCTTTTTTTATGATGACATTGTCTTTGGTTAAACAGTAAGTGGGTAAAATGAAACAGTAAGCTTCTTTTTTAAATAAACTTATTTTATTTTAACACTGCAAGGTGCTCTCAGCTCATTTTATACTTTCCCTGCATCAGTCCTGGAATCAACCATTTCTCCAGGGAAAATTTTTTTTTAATGTCACAGATGCATCACAAAAGAAAAATCTGCACTAATCAGGATCACATTGACTATACTCAGAGTAGGATAATTTGTGGAGAGCCTAATGAAAAACTTTTACAAATATAGGATGCTGAAGAATCCTGCAGTGTATACATCTAGAAAACATGTGTCTGTTATTATCCCTAGAACTGATGGAATAGAAAGAGCATCATGTACTGAAGACCTTCTTGAGAGGCCAATGACCTTCAGTGGAGGGATACAGCCTTCCTGAATCTGACTTTAGGAAGGAAGGCACTCACTCTCTTCCTTTTCTCTAATCACATTTGGGAAACCAGAGGTCTAGGGGGCTCTTTCATATCTATACCAGCCATCCTCACAAGAAAAAGCCAGGTAGAGAGCAAAAGAGAGGATCTGCTGGGATGAACCAAAGATATCCAGCAGAGTATCATTGTACATGTTTTCATTTTCACTATTAGTGATTCTATAAATAGAGAAGAATTTACATAATTTAACATTTTACTTGAAATAAAGTGGTCAACAGTAGATTTCATTGAGTGACTAGCTAAGTGGCTAGCTAAATTGCTAGAAGACACTAGAAGGACCCTAAAGCCATTAACTAGGAAAATTCAGAAATTCAGAAAAATTGGAAAGCCCATATCTAAGAAAACTTGTCCCAGAGCAAATACCATCTGTGCTTGGGGTATAATTTAATAAGTATTTAGAGTTTAAAGAGGGATGGATGGAATTGGAAAGTTAAACTAAAGGCATGCTTTAGGAACAGTAATGTGCCATTGACAGGTTCTGAAGGGATCTGGGTATTTAACCTCAGGGATGATATTCCAGATATTTAACAACTTATATGACACAGAAGCTACCTTTGAATAAATGGACCAGAACCAATCAGTATAAGTATGGCATAGTATTTATAATTAATCAATGTATATATTTAGATGTGGTTACTCCAGGGCTCAGAGATTTAATTCACTATCCTGGCTTTAAATACCATTGGTATACTGTCAACTCTCAAATTTAAGTTTCTAGGATAGACATCTTGCCTGAACTTAAGACTGAAACATCCAAGTGCTTTCCCATCATATGCACATGGATATCTAAAGATGTTTCGAGATTACTATGTCTGAAATCTAATTTTTTTCTTTCTACATAAACAAAAAAAATCTCCCTGATGAAGTGTTTCATATTCCAGCTCCACACAGTCTAACCTTCTAGTCATTCAAGCCAAAAACTTTAAGAAATTATTTTTATTTTTATACATTACATACAATGAAATGCAGTATTTTAAGTGTATGGTTTAATGAGTTTTAATAAATCACAACAGTCAAGATACAGATTTCTATTACCTGCTGTTTCACCTCTGTTCTGGGCAACCAATGATTTGTTTTTTATTTTTCTAAAGTAGTATGTGAATCACATCAGACTCTATAGGCTATTTTGTGTCTGGCTTCTTTTGTTCAGCATAATGTTGCTGACATGCATCCAGAGCTTAAATGATATTGCTATATTGAATCTTGTTGAAAATATCTATAATTTTTTTCTTTGATTTATATTTTTTATCACTAAATAGTATTCCATTGTATGGATATACCAAAATTTGTTTATCCATTCACCTGTTGATGGATATTCATATTGTTTTCTGTTTGGGGAACATTATAAATAAAGCTGTTATGAACCTACACATAAGACATGATAAAGTTTGTATAGATGTATACTTTAATTAATCTTCGTTAATTTTCTAAGAGTAAAATTTCTGGATCTTATGAAAGAGTATATATAACTTTATAAAAAATTGCTGAACTATTTGGGAAAGTGGTTCTACCACTTTTCTTTCCTACCAGTAATGTATGAGAGTTCTACTTGCTCTCCACCCTCACTGGTACCTTGTCCACCCTCAAATTTAGTAATCTAATGGTAGGTAGTGATATCTTGTGATTTCAATTCTGAATTCCCTGATAAATGATGACATTACACATCTTTTCATGAGCTTGTTAGCCATTCATATATCTTCTTCCGTAAACTATCTGTTCAAATCTTTGTGTATTTTTTAAAACTCAAGTTGATTAACTTCCTGTTGACTTGTAAGAGTTGTTTATGTACTCTGAATGTGAGACCTTTGTCAACTGTTTTCATTGCAAATTTTTTCTCCCAGTCTGTGACTCACTTATCATTTACTTAAAAATATCTTGACATACTTTGAATTCTATTATATTTGGTAAAAACTTCCAAAGTTTTTCTCAAAAAGAAAAGAGCCCCAAAACCAAAAACAAAACTAAAAACAAAGAAAATGACTAAAAGAGAGTGAATAGTGACATTATTTATGCCATTACTATAGAAGGGAGTGTTTACTTCCTAGTGAAACTGACTAAGAAATTCAGACATTGAACTTTTGATTTTTCCTGGCCATGTAAGACTGGCATTTTTTTCATTTTTCTTCGTGTTCTTCTCATAAATTAGATTCTCTTTCTATGTGCAAATATCCATTTCCTTAATCTTTTTGCTGCATGGCTATTTGTTCCTCTATGGTTGGTTTCTATGTGCTGGTCTTCAAGGAACAGTCAAAGATTGGTGTTTCACTGTACATTCTTAAGGTCCATTTCAGGTATTTATGAAATTTCTGTGCCTGATTAATCCATCTACTACTTCAAACTAGAAAAATAGAAAGGAAATTTTCATATAGTTATTATTGTTTATTTTGAAGCTACAATATAAACAGAGGAATAGGTAGACCACAAAGACTGGGAATATGAAACGCATTCCAAGCAATCTTGAGGGAAATTACACAAATATTGTCAGGGCAAATCTATTGCTGATTCCACAAGCACTGGCATATCCAGACGTTGTTACATATAAATGGGAATTCTCCTAATTAACTTCCATTTACTAAATTGAAACTTACATATAGAATATTAAATTGCATTAGAAGCTCAACATTTATTTAATATTTAGACAAACATATTTTTCAAGAAGGAGTATTTTACCGGTGTCTTAAGAAATTGCTGGTAGTGACTTTTATTGTTTTTATTATATTATAGTTGCTGGCTTCAAGGTTGCACAGCACTTACTAGCCAGCCTTTTGTGTATTTGGCTGGTGGTATGTCTTTATTACCACTTGCTGATAATTAACAAGATCTACCTGGTAACATTAAAGATACAGAGTACACAGTGTTTAGCACAGAGAAATCAAGGTATGCTAGCTACTGTTTAATTGCTGTGGTTTTGTTTAAATTTAGAACTTCTGTAGGGTCCACTCAGTAAGTCGGTTTTATAGTTTGTAGAGTGAGTATCTACATCCTTAACATCAAGGGTTAATGTAGTTTTTAATGTGACATCGAAGTCTCAAAGCAATTGGACTTTTTCTTGCTTAGAAATTCACAGCATTGAATGGCTTGTGGTATTATAACTACATGAGTTATATTTATTTTCGTTCTCTTACAATACATATTCTAGAAATGTCTACGATATTGGACTCCCCCCACCCTACCCTGCTAATGTCTCACCAGTGATCTAGTAGCTGAGACAGGAGCTGGAGCCTGCAGTCTCTGAACTGCTGCCCTCTCTAGCGCACCAAGTAGTAGTGCCCATATCGGTCAGTGGCTGGCCTGTTGATGATATTCAAAAATGGCCAAGGAGGAGTATGAGAAAAAATAAATTCATAAGGAGGAATGTGTGATAAAAATTATGTATAATGAGACTACTGACACCTACTGTTATGTGGCATAATAATATGGGTGATCAACTCTCTTCCCAGAGAAAGGACTAAGTGTCTTCTTACAAATAGATTAGTTTACATTTTAATGAATTGAAATTACATAGAGAAAATTGTTTTTATGAAAGATCTATAATATATGAAAATTTATTTTACTATGATGGTAGTATTATGAAAAAGGTAAGAACAATGTATACATTAAATACAATGATTTACGATATTAAAAAATTCAGTGCTTAGACAAACCAGAAATAAATACACCAAATAGTTACTAAAGTAACAAGGAAATAACAATGATTTTAAAAATACCTTTTCATTACTTTAGTGCTACCCATATTTTATTTGTATTTATTTATTTATTCTTATTATTATTTTAATTTATTTTGAGAGAGTGTGCAGGAGATTCAGAGAGAGAGGGAGACAGAGAGAATCCCAAGCAGCCTCCACAGTGTTAGTGCAGAACCCAGTGTGGGGCTTGAACTCATGAACCGTGAAATCATGACCTGAGCCAAAACTGAGTCGGCTGCTTAACTGACTGAGCCGCCCAGGCACCCCAAGTGTTGTCAGTATTTTAATAAAAAGCAAACATAATTTAGCACATGATGGAAATATTTAATAAAGTTATTCTATAATTTTAATCAGAATGTTAATTTTATCTCTTTGTAATCAAGTCCTTTGGTGGTTTATTGATCTTTTAATATGTTTAAGATCAAGTTTTAAAAATATTAAATATTGAGTCCATATGTTTCAAGACCAGCTGCTGGTATTGATCCCACTGGTTTTTTGTTTTTGAAATATTTTTGTAAAGTTTATTTATCAAGGGGGAGGGAGGGCAGAGAGAGCGGGAGAGAGAGAGGATCGATCCTCCACACTGTCAGCACAGAGCCCAACGCAGGGATGGACTCACAGACTGGGAGATCATGACCTGAGCTGAAACCAAGAGTCGGACACTTAACCACTGAGCCACCCAGGTACCCTGATCCCATTGGCTTTTATATTGTGAAGATACCATATGATTTGGGAAAGCTGCAAACTAACTTGATATTAGATGTATTTATTACAGAAGGCTTTTTAGCACCCATCTAAGTAACATTTTAACCCTGCATTCTCAGCAGATCTTGAATATATGGTGCCTAGTTAATTCAGGAGCCTACGGTCAGCTTATTCTTTAGGCACAGTAAGCAAAGTGCCTTCTAGGGCCCAGGATGCTTTTTGGAGCCCACGGAAATGTTTTAATTTTAATTTCTTTTAAAATCAAACTTAAAGAAAGAAAGAAACAAACAAAAAATCCCACCCCATAAGTATAATAGTGTGTGTGTGTGTGCATATATACATATATTCATTTAATTCTTTTTAAATTGAAAAAAAAAAAACAATTTAATGGAGAAAGGAGCCCACAGAAAGTAAACAGGCCCAGACAGAGCCCATGAAAATCATAATGTGGACCTGCTCTGCCCCATAGTGTGTAAGTCTTTCCTTTCCCTTAATGATTCTGTAATGAATTTCGGAAAAGCATCTGAGAATAACAGTAACTTGTGGACCTCATGAAAGATTCCAAGGAAATCAAAGTAGTAAGATGAAAATTTCCAGCCCAGCAGAAAAATACAGTTTAAAATACACTTTACCCAATGACCGATATCCATCCTGTACCTGTTTGCTCTAAGCAACAACGGTATTAACCCTGTCTATACAGAGTAGATTCCCAGGTTATGGAGCAGGGGTTTTTCATCTGGCATCACCCCTGCTTAGGGTTCTAGCTTATTTAAGAAAACAACAGTTTTAGCAAAACTTTCCATGACAAGAACTCAAACTTTTAATTTATAATTTTATCAGGTATCATTTCATTATAGTATAAAATACACACAGTACTTCTTTTTGTGGCATTATTTGGTTTTCTTTCAAATGTTATTGATTTTCCCAGATGTTTTAAGGTAATTGCATTGGTGTCTTAAAAATACTGGTCACAGTAACTGAGGACTGAAGACAGCCCAGCATTGAAATAACTGAATGATTTCCCTTTCCTTCCCCCAGTATTTTGGGAGGCTGTGAAATATTGTCTACTTCTAGGTGAACTTTCTATACCATACAGTATAATTGTAGTAATTGTACTTTTTTCCCCAATGTATACGGGCATACTTAACTGAATACATATTTTACTTTTACATTTCCCTTTTTCTCATGTTTTCCTTCATTATTTTTTGTCTCTTTCCTTTCTTCCTTAATTCAGTTCCACAAATACATATTATTTAATGTTATAGTACAAAGAACTTAAGGGAATTTACTTTGGAGTCTCTTTTATTTCCCCTTCCTTTATTCTTCATTGCTTTCTTCCTGTATTTATTCTTTCCTTCTTTCCTTCTTGCCAGCTTCTCCCACCCTCCAACTCTAAATATCTCTCTCTCTCTGTCTCTCACACACACACACACACACACACACACACACACACACATTCACCTGAGTGATCAAACTGAAGATTTGTGTTTTTGTGTGTCTGTATTTTGGGAATCTTTTCTTTACTCTCAGGCAGGATTTGCTAACTTTCTGTTGATTGTTTCACAGTCTACAAAGCGATACAATTTGTTCCTGAAGCGACGTCTTTTGGTAAAAAAGTGCTGAATGCTGCTGCTTATGCTTTGGATGGCTGTAGTAGTAGCCCAGTCCTTTTTATTCCAGTGTATACTATTGATCTGGAGGGACTTTGTCACTGATTCCCAGTCTCTAGGGAATTGAGATTTTAGAATGGTGTTTTTTTTTTTAAATATTTTTTTATTTATTTCTAGGAGAGAGAGAGAGAGACAGCGTGAGCAGGGGAGGGTCAGAGAGAGAGGGAGTCACAGACTCTGAAATTGGCTCCAGGCTCTGAGCTGGCAGTCAGCACAGAGCCCGACACGGGGCTCGAACCCATGAACCACGAGATCATGACCTAAGCGAAAGTTGGACGCTTAACCAACTAAGCCACCCAGGCGCCCCTAGAATGGTGTTTTTTAATTGTTTTTGGATCTGATTAAAGATGTAGATGCTCTTTCTAAAAAATGTATATGTGTGTCTGTCTATATACATATAATTTATATGTTATATATATTTGGGCTGTATATTTATATATTACATATATTTAGCATATGTAATATATATTTGGTATATATATTTTTTATATTTGCATATAAACACACATATATATTACACACACACACACACACACACACACACACACAGACAATTTACCTACAGTTTTATAGTTTATGAACTCCCAGTAGGAATCCTCGACTATGAACCTCAGAATAACTACCTCATTCAAAGAAAATTCACCCAGATGTTCACCCATTATACATTGGGATTTCTAAGAGCAAATCAAATATAAACGCAAACACATATACATGTGGCAAAATGTTATCTTAATGTCATGCCTTGAGCAAAACAAAAGAATGATCATGACCTGAGCTGAAGTTGGATGCTTAACCAACTGAGCTACCCAGGCAAGCCAATTTCTCCATATTTTTAAACATTTTACTCTATATCAGGGCACGACATAGTGAGAGAAGTTTGGGTTTTCCTAGGTAGCATCTGGCTTTCAGAAGGGAAGTATATATATCCATTTTGACTGAACACTGAAAAAACTATTTTTGGGGTTACTTTGTTTACTCACTAATAGTCAAATACTACACATGTGATTTTTGATTTCCATGTGCACGACTTCTGTCATCAGAACTTCTCTTTGTGGACTTAGGTTTAGCTTGCCCAAACAATAAAACACTGGTAAATATATATTCTTTTAAAAATAATCTCTGCCGGGGCACCTGGATGCCTCAGTGGATGGAGCATGCAACCCTTGATTTCTGGGCTATGAGCCTACTTAAAAAAAGAAAAAATCTCTACCATGCAAATTTTGGCTGTCACAAATTTTGATTTGAGAGCAAAAGGATTATTAGTTTTCTTTCCTCTAATTTTTTGCTTTGATTATATTTAGTCTAATTAGTCTCTTATTTCCTGCTTCAGTTGGCTTCCATGAGTTTTGGTGAATTTCATGAAATATGCTAATATTATGATATACAGGCGCTCAAATGATTTTTTAATTTTGTTTTCTTTTTCTTTGTATAGTGAGCTATAAATCAAAGGGTAACAGGATAACAGCTTGAGTTTTCTCAGGTTCTTTTGCTTTCTTTTAGGCAAAAGGAGATGATCATTCATCTTTTGGTTAGGTGCAGAGAACTCAGATGTAATATTTGAGTTACTATTTTTGACATTTATTCTCTAGACTCCCTGAATGTGTTTTGTTTTTGTTTTTTGTTCATTTTTCCACTCATTTCTTTCTGTGCATTAGGAGCTACTTCTTCCTGAGACATATCAGCTGTGCCTTCACATAGATAAAATACAGTTCTTTTTTTCATAGAACACAAGTCAAGCATGAGATGTTTGTCTTATTATACATGACTGTTCTATATCCATTCTTTTTTAGGGGAGGCCTCCCTGGCTTTAGTTGGGTGAAAAACAGCATAGAATACCATAACAGAAACTCCTAAACTAACACAGATACTAGTTATGAAAACTAAAAGCATCCAGTTCTCCATTCATGGGTTAGCTAAAGCAATTGGAAAATTGCCGGTGTTAGGTTATAACTGCATCACAGAATTAGAGAGATCGCTAACCTCCACTGCATTGTCTGTTTGCATCAGTCTAAGTTCGATATATGTGGACTATTCCAAACATTACATATTATACATTACATATAAACCTGAGGAAGGGCCACATCAGTCAAATATGAAATCTCGTCTTCTAAAGCTTTCTAGGGTTTTTGTAGTTTTTAAAGGGAAGGATGAACTATACAACATGTGAATGCTGAATTTGTCAGTTTGACTATTCCACTGAGAGAATTGAGAACACGGATTTTAAACAAAGATGGCCTCTGGCTCACGTAGGGATCAGTGCTGAAAGGAGATCTGCATGAGCATTTACATGCAGTAAACTCAGCTGGCAAGCTACCTGCTTTCTAATTTTTAACTGCACTTTGATTTTACTTTAACCCTTCAGGAGTTGAATTAGAAAGTGGCAATTTTGTGAAAACAGAGAAGCATGAGTTGTAAGTTAATTTTCTTAGAATGAGATTCATTAATTGGTCTGTAATGAATTACACCCCAAAAGTAGTGTGTGAACATGAATTATTTGTCAGACTCATTGGCATGTTATTTAACAAAGATAACAAGTCTCCAAATATGCATTTTGGGATCCATGTATCCCCTGTGTTCATTTTATATTTCAATACAATCACACCATTTTTGTTGTGTGTGCATGTAGTTAATGCTTACCTTCATCTTGAGTCTTCCTGGTGTGTCTATATATATCTTCTCTATGGAAGTTCACTTTCTGAAACAAGCATAATCTTCTGTTGATGAAAACTTAGGCTGTTTGTCTTCAGCCTGTCAAATCAGGACTGAAACAAATTAGACCAAATGTCGGCGAATTCGTTTCATGTTTTTGCCATTTGAAAATAAAACTGTAAAGTTGTGTCATTCCTGTCTCCTGCAGTTTAAAAAAGACGAACAAAGCAAGGACTCTATCTTCTTCAGAGATGGGATTAGGCAAATTGATTTTGTGCTTTCCTATGTTGATGACCTAAAGAGAGAAGCAGACCCAAAGGCGGTAAGTACTTAGGGGAGAGGAACTGGGAATCGTTAAAAAAAACACTTGCTGTAGTTCATCAGGGTTGTTCCCACTGAATTACGTTGTAGAAGTTAGAGACCTCTGAGGTGTTATTGAAAGCTAAGGCTAGGGGATAAGATTAGAAAACAGGCCTAAAAATGAATTGGATGTGTAAAGTCAATTTGATTTTTTTTTTTTTTGGACATTTTGAACACTACCTTCTTTTTCTTCTTCTAAGTGACTCGTATATTGTTTACATAGCTCCAAAATGTTAAACGTGACCTCCAAAATGTGAGGTATGTCTCAATATATTTATTTTCACCTTAAAAATGTGTGGCTAATCCATGCCATCTGAAATGTCCTTCATGTTATGCTCTATTCCTTATCCTGTTTTCTTTTCATTAGAACACATCACTTTCTGAGCTTATATATTTGCAGTTTCACTTGTTTGCTGTGTCCAGCATTCTAAATTAAGTTCATAAGACCAAGGACTTTGTCCTGCTCCCTGCTGTATACCCGAATGTCTAAAATGGTGGTTGCAGCATCGTGGATGCTCAAGAAATAATTATAATTGAAATAATGAATTAATACTTTAACCCCTATGTGTAAGCATGTACACACACATTTACTAACATATTTACCCAGGAAATAAATGTCATATAAAATAAAAATTAAAAAACAACAGATATTATCCCCATAAGATCCTGTCCCTTTCTTCCACACTTTCCCTATAAACCCCTCCATCAAGTCCCTGAAATTCACTCACTGACATCCTTTTCCTTTTCTCAGAATGTCCCCCATAACTGGGCTCTTCATTGAGTTCATTGCCTTCTCCAAGTGCTTTCAGGTGATGGTTGGTGTTTCCTCATAGAGCCTTTTTCTGGAGATGGGCAAATGCCTGCTCTGACCTCCTTGTATCTCATTGTTGATTACAGGCCCTTCTCCCTCCCTCATCCCTAGAATTCCTGAACTTTTACTCTCATCAGATTAATCATTGCCCTGCTTTACTGCTGTCATTAATGTGTCCCTGGGTTTTCCCTTTCATTTCTCTACAGTTTGAGCCCCTGGTTCACTATGATTCTCTTCACCAATACTCCTTAAATTCTTGTTTATTGCAATTCATACATAGATGATTATTTTATTAGAATTTTTTTAACCTTTATTTTTGAGAGAGAGAGAGAGCTTGAACAGGCGAGGGGGAGAGAGAGAGGGAGACAAAGATTCCTAAGCAGGCTCCAGGTTCTGAGCTGTCAGCACAGAGTCTGATGCGGAGCCCGAACTCATGAAAGCGAGTTCATGACCTGAGCCAAAGTCAATCGCTTAACCAACTGAGCCACCCTCGATAACTATTTTAGCATCCTAGCCTCTCTCTTCCTTGAAGTCCCCTTTCCATTTGTGTTAGTCTCTAGCTCAGCCATTCACTTCCCTAGAACTTGTCATTTTTGATAATTGCAACTCTTTGTAATCTCACCCCCAGGCATCTGACTGTCTGACCAGCCCCTCATATATTTCTGACCAATACCTTTCCTTCAAGCAGAACCAGATAAGATGCAACTACCTTAACCCCCTTTTCGCTGCTGGTCCTTATCCTCTGTTTCCTTTGCTGATCCAGCTTGAATCTAATGGTCAAGAAATGTAATCACTCTGTTACATATGCCTTCAAATCTTTGCCCTTTTCTAAAGTGTGTTTCCTTAGCAAAACAGCAATTATAGTTAAATCCAGCTTTCTACCTACTCTGTGCCAGACCAGACAGAAAGAAAGACTTGGAATTCATTTGGAGATTTTACCTCATGTTTGTGCTCATGGACTTCAGCTGGGCCCTGAAGGCTGCCTGGCAGTCATGCTTTGCTTCCTTATTCTATGCAGCTTCCCATTCTCCTGGACGACTGTTTTGTAACTCTGCTCAGGCTTACCGATACCTGCTTCCCATCTTCAATCTAAGCTGACCATACGTTTCTGTTTCGTTGAGAAAACTGAACCAAGTAGAAGAGAAATTCTAAATTTTCATCATTACTTCTGTCCATCCACATGCATCTTCACCTGGATAATCTATGTTTCTCCTGTTACCATAGACAGATTATCCTTCTATCTGAAGCCAACACCTTACACTTGTGCCCTGGGTCCCATTTCTTCTTGCCTAATCTTCAAGAGTCACGAAGGCCACCCTCAAGTTCGGTGATTCAATAGAAGGACTCACGGAACACAACAGATAGTCATACTCAGTGGCTATGCAGTGAAATAGTTCACAGCAAAATCAGCAAAGGGAAAAAGATGCATGGGGCCAAGTCCAGAAGTAACCAGGAGCAAACTTTCAAGAATTCTTTCCCAGTGAAGTTGCATAGTAACAATGTTCACCATCAAATGTAAAGTGAGCTCATTAAAGACTCACTGCCCTAGGATTTTTTTGGGGGCTGGTCACCTTGTGCTCTTCTGCCTAGATGTACCAACATTTCATAGTCCCAGAAAGAAAGCAGATGTTTAGCATAAAATACATTGTACATACAGTGTAAATAAAGTAGGCCATTCTTATCAGATCTGGGAATAGTTGGAACCCTTCTGAAAGTTTTCAGACACCAGAGCCAATGTTGCAGGCAGGGCTTTCTAAGGGTACCAGTTTCAAACCTGTCCTATTAATTATTTTCTGTGTATCTACTTAGGGTTATTGCTCTTACAATTTTTTCCTGTTCTAAATTATATTTTGTGCTGTTCTTTGCTGGACCATCAACAAACAAATATGCTGTTAATGCCTCCATATTGAAAAAAAAGAAAGAAAAGCCAAGAACAAAAAACTTCACTTGATCTCAGTTTTTCTGCCAGCTACTATTCTCTTCTCGAAATCTTTTCTGCCTCATTTTCTCTGAAGCCTATTGCTATCAGGCCATTGCCTTAACCATTCTGATTATCTTCCTATAAATAAACAGTGATCAAGTCTCAACCCTCATTTTACTTGACCAATTCGCAGTGTGTGCCACAGTTTCTCATTCCTTCTTTCTCTCTTTTTTTAAAATTTATTTCTGAGAGAGAGAGAGAAAGACAGCATGAGCAGGGGAGGGTCAGAGAGAGAGACACACACAGAATCTGAAGCAGTCTCCAGGCTCTGAGCTAGCTGTCAGCACAGAGCCAGACGTGGGGCTTGAACCCACGAACTGTGAGATCATGACCTGAGCCAAAGTTGGACACTTAAATTGACTGAGCCACCCAGGCATCCCTCTCATTCCTTTTCGTATGCTTGTTCTTCACTCGGCTTCCAGAAACTCCATATTCTCATAGTTTTTCTCTTATTTCGTTGCTACTTCTCCATCTTTTCCCCTCCCTGACCCTTCATTATTGTAGTGCCTTGGGGTTCAGTCTTTAATCCTCTTCGTGTCCCAGCCTGCATGCATTTCTTTGATGACACAACCTGTCAGCTGTAAAACCACATCTGTGCTAATTCCAAAGTTCACCCTAGTCCATTCTCTCCCCCATATGACTGTTTTGCATTTTTACCTGGAAGTCTCATAGGCATCTCTAATTTGGTAGGTCCAAACTGAGCTCCTGAATACCCCCCACCCCTCCCTGCTAAAATCCTATCTTTCTACAAGTCTTCCCCATCTACAGTTATTTCTGCTACATTTCAGGAGTTGCGAAGGATATAATTTACAGTGTATTGATAATGGTCCAGTTAAATCACTTTTTGGAATATATCCATAGAACATAAATATGGAAATTTGACACCCACTATAATTCATTTTAAAAAATGAATTATATGAAGAAATCCTTCTTCAACACTTGAAATTTTACATCATTTTACGTCATTTATTTATCTCCTTCACCTGAAATTTCTGTTTCATTTTCCCCACTTAAATTTGTCCTGAAGTAAATATTTCACCTTTGGGGGTCTTTTATTTGTTCAACTGTAAGTTTGCTGCAACAAATATATGTGTCCACACTAAAATGTTATTATTTCCCTTCCCCAGAAGAGCATAAGCCTTAAACGTTTTCTTTGTTTTGAGTTTTTTTAACAATTCTACAAGTCTATAATTGATAAAGCATCATGAATATGTTACAACATTTGACAGTTATCAAACAAACAAAAAAATAAACTCATCATAAATTCATTAGTTAATGAGATGAACAGAGGGGCTTTAAAAATATTTTCTTCTTGGGGCACCTAGGTGGCTCAGTTGGTTAAGCATCAGACCTCAGCTTAGGTCATGATCTTGCAGTTTGTGGGAGCTTGGAACCTGCTTCGGAATCTGTGTCTCCCTCTCTCTCTGCCGCTTCCCCACTCACTGTCTTCTGTCCCTCTCTCTCCCTCCCAAAAATAAAAAATAAACTTAAAAAAGTATTTTCTTCTCTCTTTCCCCCTCCTCCACTCTCTCTGTCTCTCAAAATAATATTTATTTTTGTGAGTGGAGGAGGAGCAGAGAGAGAGGGAGACACAGAATCCAAAGCAGGTTCCAGTCTCCAAGCTGTCGGCACAGAGCCTGACACAGGGCTCAAACTCACGAACCATTAGATCATGATCTGAGCTGAAGTTGGAGGCTAAATTGACTCAGCCACCCAGGCCCCCCCCAAAATATTTTCTTTATTTATAAAGAAAGAGTTTTTCCTGGAAGGAGGTGGTTCAGGTTCAACTATACCCCTGTCTTGTTTTTTTATGGCAGTGTCAATTAAGCATGTTCAGATAAATACATAGATTGGAATAGAAAGATTATTGTTTAAGGAATTTTAATCTTTTTTGGACACCTGAATTATATCTCCAAATTATAGTGATGTATCATAAAAGTGGTGTTTAATGGACTATCAGCTACTAATCCTATTAGCTCTTCAGTTTTGTTGAACTCAGAGAATTGGCAGCCATGTTACTTGCAGAAGCATTTGGTACTATAATGAAAAGAGTTGTTCACTTTCTCAATTCTTATAGCAGAATTTTGAATGCCTCACTCCTTTTTTTTTGGTCCTCCCCTGCTCCTTTTTTGGTTTTCTGGAAGTTTGCAGTCTGCCTCCCTCTGGTAACATGAAAGAAGGACAATTATGAAAGGGTAGTTGAAAGGAAAATCTGCACCAGTCTCATCGGACTGTGCTCAAATGTGGCAAACTATCTTTTATTCTTTGTGAACTTTGAAGATATATCAAGGTAGACTTATCTGTTTGAAGATAGGCATTCTGTAATAACATAATAAAGTCTTTTAGAATTTCATTTACTATAAAATTCTTCAGATTTAGGTTATAAGTAAAGCCAAAAAATTTCAACAATCAATGCATTGTTTTGAAGCCCACAAATAATGATTGTTTTAATAACTTAATTTAATTTTTTTCTAAGTGAAGATATTCTCTTCTTCAAAATTAGAAAGTTATAATGAGGAGCATCTAGGTGGCTTAGTCTGTTGAGTAGCCTACTCTTGATTTTGGCTGAGGTCATGATCTCAGTAGTTGTGAGATCAAGCCCTGTGTCGGGCTCTGCACTGGGCCTGGGGCCTGATTGGGATTCTCTCTCTCTCTCTCTCTCTCTCTCTCTCTTTCTCTCTCTCTCTCACTGTTTACTTATTTTGAGAGAGAGAGGGAGATACAGAATCCCAAGCAGGCTGTAGGCTCTGCACTGTCAGCACCCAGCCCAAAGGTGCTTGCTCGCTTGTTCTCTCTCTCTCTGTCTCTCTCCCTGCCTCTGCCCCTCTCCCCTGCTCACACATATTCTCTCCTCTCTCTCTCAAAAAAAAAAATAAATAAAAATAAAAAGTCATAATGAAATTTTGGCTTAAATTTGAATTAAATATATCCTTTCTTTTTAAGACTACTAGTATGTTTCTGATACTGAGTCTTCCCAAGCAAGGGTGTGACATGTCTCTCTGTTTATCAAGTTTTTACAAATGTTACTTAGTAAAGTTTTGTGCATACTTTCAAATAGCAGTTCTGCACATTTCCTGGAAATCATTCCTAGATATTTTGGATTTTTATTGTTATATTGTGAATTTTAGTACAGGTGAAAATAGGACATGGTGCTAAGATGGGGTAATGGATAAAGGACTTTTATAGACAACCGGGGGAGGGGCAGATGACCACCTGGAATAGCAAGTCTGTTTATCGCTGGGCAAATACAAGTGTTCTACATAATTCTACTGATTTTTTTCCATAGGAAAGGAGGAAAGAATTTGAACAAAATCTCAGAAAAACAGGTCTTGAGTTGGAAATTGAAGACAAAAGGGTAAGTGTAGCCATTAATTGGTACCAGAGTCTTGATGTTTTAAGCAATTGTTTTCTTCTGCTATGGTGTTTGACTCAATAGACTTTGTGTTTGGGAGCAGTACAATGTTTTTTTGGTATTGCTAAAAATATACACAAAAATAAAATAGTTATGTAGATGGTAGGGGGTTTGGTCTTCCTGGTAAAGCAGTAGGTTAGGGCTCTGAATATAAGACAGTGAGTGGAACACTCTAAAAATAGACAAACATAATTCTATTCAGGATACAAAGAAAGTAAAGATACGGTTCTTGTTTTTTATATATCTCATTTTGAAGGCTGTCTTTAATCTGACACTGTAACTAGTTAACCTGGCTATCTTCTGCACAACCCACTTCTTTTTTTTTAATGTTTTATTTATTTCTGAGAGAGAGAGAGATGTGAGTAGGGGAGGGTCAGGGAGAGAAGGAGACACAGAATCTGAAACAGGCTCCAGGCTCTGAGCTGGCTGTCAGCACAGAGCCTGACACGGGGCTCAAACCCACAAACCATGAGATCATGACCTGAAGCTGAAGTTGGCCACCCAACCGACTGAGCCACCCAGGTGCCCCTGCACCACTCCTTTCTTAAGCCAAGACTTGCTTTGCTCATGAATATGGAAAATTCTTTTATTTATTTATTTTTAATCTCTTTCCATCTACTGGTTTCCTAGAATTACCTTCAAAATGTTTTTTAAAAAAAATTTAAGTTTATTTTATCTTTTTTTTGAGAGAGGGGCGGGGAGGGGCAGAGACAGAGAGGGAGAGAGTGAATCCAAAGCAGGCTCCATAGTGTCAGCACAGAGCCTAATGCGGAGCTCGAACTCACAAACTGTGAGATCATGACCTGAGCTGAAACCAAGAGTCAGATGCTTAACCAAGCCACCCAGGTGCCCCTCCTTCAAAATGGTTTTAAAGACCTATCTCATATCCCACTCTGCCAACGAAACTCCAGTACTCTGTAGTTCTTATTCTTTCCTATTTTTACTGAACTAATAAAAAATTGTGTTACACCACACAATCTATAACTTAGTCAATTTTACCTGTGTAATGAAGCCTTATTACCTACAGTTCTTCCTCTAGATATGGGCTGTACATAGCTGGGTGAGAAGAGGAAGTACATCTTTTACTTTGTATGTATCCCTCATATATCCTAAGCACAGTTCTGAGCTCATGGCTAGTTACTATTAACTGAAGAGATTGTCCAGAATCACATACGTTTCTGTGGATTTGGGGCTAGTGTACAGTGACTCTGAAATTTATTTTTCAAATATTCTTTCTTTGTCTCTATCACACACACACACACCTTATATACATATACATACACATATATGTAAGTGTAATAATACAGATACATGTTTTGAGCATTTGTTCCTCTAAGAATTTTGCTGAAAAGTTTCGATAAATTGAAAATGCTCTGACATCTGTGATTTGTTTGTGGTGTCATAAAACTTTGTGTCTTTACTCAGTTCGATAACAAGTAAATCACAATGCTTCCTGTTGTTTTGCCTTCTTTTTCTACAGAACTCTGAAGATGGAAAGACATATTTTGTCAAGATCCATGCCCCTTGGGAGGTACTGGTTACTTATGCTGAAGTGTTGGGAATCAAAATGCCTATTAAGGAGAGTGATATTCCTCTACCCGAGAATATCCCATTCAGCTGTATGCTTGAGCCTCTGAAGCTCCCAAGGAATGTGAAGCGCCCCCATCCTGAATATTTCACTGCCCAGTTCACCAGGCATCGGCAGGAACTCTTCCTCATTGAAGACCAGTCAAGCTTCTTTCCATCCTCATCAAGAAACAGAATTGTAGGTAGAGATGACCTATGGGCACATCCCTTCAAGTGAGGCTTGTGTATCTGCATGGGCTTGGACACGTGTGCTCGTGCAATGCTGTGTGTGCACCGAGTTCGTGCATACATTTTGATATGTACTGGGTGGTATTGAGCAGGTTTGAAAGTCCAGCTGGACTACTTAAACCTGTTCTCCTACCGACTTTTCAAACTGCTGTTTACACATGAAAGGTGATGATGTGGACACAGCCAAGGCCGAGGCTTTGTGCAATATCGGGAAGGCTCTTAACTTAGAGCTGGGGCTTAGGTTTTATTGGTTCTTTGCAAAATGGTTTTATAATCTTAGAGTGGTTTTATAAATTCAGTGCATAGCAGGAGGAATATTGGTCATTCCGAATGGAAATGGAATTTTAAAATTTCTTTATATATAGATAGCATTTGAGAAACCTCAAAACTTTCTCTTTTCATTTAAAACAATTTTCATTCATGGATAATAATATCTCCTTCCCATTTGTAGTCAATAAGACCTTTAAGTTTCCCATGAAAAGCCTCTCTGTAAAGAATCATGCTTTCTGTGCCACTGTTCCTTTGTGTTAAGATAGGAATAAAGTCTAGCTCATAGGTTGCCCTGAAAATGAAATGAGTTAAGGTATGAAAGGCTTCGATACTTGGAATAAACTAGGTGCTCAGGAAGTGTTAGGTGTTATTATTATTGACTTGACTTTAGAGAGAAAAACAGTAAGGTTCCTAGTTGCTCTGACCCTCCTCCCTGTTGCCTATTAATGCAATCACAGGGGTCCTAATCACTTACTGCCTTTCCCTACTTGAGACTTTTCTTTCTTTTAGGGTCAGTACTCTTCAGTGTCTAAGGATTTTGAAACCATAATTCTTTCTAGTTTCTCAATTTTTTTAAAAATTCACGGGCAGGAGTATTAAACATAATGTCTAGAATTTACATATAAAAATATGAACCTACAAACTAAAAGTTTTCTCCCTTTTCCTACCAGGAAAAAAAAACCACCACCATCACCACAACTACATCCCTAAGGGGCAATCTCTAACAAGGGAGTAAAGAGTGTATGACATGGAGTCAGAAGATCTGGTTTCAAGTCATAACTCTGCTGCTTTCTAAATAAAACAACCTCTCTTAAAACAGAGATAATGACGGTCAACAGTAGCGTTACTGTCCAAACCAAATGAAAGAATGTGTGTGAAGCACTCTGCAAACTGTAAAGTGCTTTAGATAGACTCGTACATTAAAAAGTAGCTAGGGGCACCTGGGTGGCTTAGTCGGTTAAGCGTCCGACTTTCGCTTGGGTCATGATCTCACGGATCGTGGGTTCGAGCCCCGCATCGGGCTCTGTGCTGACTGCCAGTTCAGAGCCTGGAGCCTGTTTCAGTCTGTGACTCCCTCTCTCTCTGACCCTCCCCTGCTCACGCTGTCTCTCTTTCTCTCTCCTAAAAATAAATAAAACATTAAAAAAAAAAAAAAAGTAGCAAAAAAAAAAAAAGGCTGGTGAGCCAGAACAAATTAGGAACTTGATCAGGTATAGAAATATTAGTATCCATTTATCTTTACTGCTTCTGATTAAAGAATGTCCATACCTTAGATTAATTCAACATTAAAACACAATAATTTTCCTGCCTTCATAGTAGTACAGAACTATTTTTGGTCTGTTGAGGAAGTTATTCAGGAGATTAATATAGAAAAGTCTCTTCTTTACTATCTTCATCCAGGATATCTATGTTCATACATGTATATACATCTATGTTCATGTATGTACAATTTGAGATTTTACAAGAGCACCTTGCATTGGTATTAAATTTCATACTTCTCAAAGCATCTTCAAACATCACAGCATCTGATCCTTGTGATATATATTTTATGATATCCGAGTCTCATGATATATATTTTATAACATCTAATATATATATGTCCCCAGTTCTGATGGCTGTTGAGTTTGTTTCCAACTTTTCTGAGTTACAAGCAATTTTGTAGTTTTACAGCCTGGTATGTACATATTTCAGCACATATGTAAATTTTTCTGCAAAATTGATACCTCACGTGAAATTTCTGAATATAAGGGCACAGACATTTAAATTTTCATATTACATGGGGCGCCTGGTTGGCTCAGTCAGTTAAGCATCTTACTGTTGATTTTGGCTCAAGTCACCATCTCACAGTTTGTGGGATCAAAGCCCACATTACACATTAGGCTCTGTGTTGACAGCAAGGAGCCTGCTTGGGATTCTCTCCCTCCCTCTCTGTGCCCCTCCCCTGCTCTCTCTCTGTCTCTCTCTCTTTCAAAATAAATAAGATTTATTTTAATAAACGTTAAAAGATACTTATTTTAATATATGTTAAAAATATATTACATTACCACTCTTGACAAAGAGATGCACTGAGTTAGGGTCCTAGTAACCACAGAAGGAGTGCTCAGTGCTCCACAGTGTTCTTGACACTGGTATTTACGAAGCTTTCTTTTTCTTTCTTTTGTACTTGGAGCATAACACACATAGAGATAGGCCCTCAAGTCATAAGTGTACAGTGCACTGAATCAGCACGAAACAAACATGGCCATGTGACCACCACCCAGATCGAGGAGAAGACTTTGCTAGCCTCCCTTCACCCACCCCAAGACCTTGCTGCCTCTTCCCAATCACTATTCCATCATCCTCAGCAGAGGTGGGCTTTAACTTACAACAGCAGAGATTAGACTGTTTTTAAACTTTATAAAAATGGAATCATGCAGTATATATTCTTTTGAGTCTACCTTCTTTGGCTCAACATTAATTTGGGTGAATAATTTAGCTCTTATATGAGTTTTTTGTGCATTTATTTTCATTACTTGATTTTGAAATTTATTTGTATATGTGTCATGATGGTTGTTTTATTTTGTGTGAGAGACAGAGCACGTGAGTGGGGAGAAAAGCAGAGAGAGAGAGAGAATCTTAAGCAGGCTTTACACTCAGTGCAGAGCCCAGTGTTGTGCTCAATCTCATGTCCCTGAGATCATGACCTGAGCTGATATCAAGAGTCAGTGCTCAACAAACTGAGCCACCCAGGCGACTCTTGTCGTTATGATTTTAATTTGCATTTCTCTAATATAAATGGGATTGATTCTCCTTGTATATATTTACTGCTTATTTAGATATGCACTTTTGTGAAGTCCCTGCTAAAATCTTAATCTATTTTTCAATTAGGTCTTGTCTTTACTTGTTGATTCGTAGGGATTATTTATATATTCCTTATACGAGCTCTTTGTTCATTATATATGTCTACTGATCTTTTCCTACTTTTTCCTTCCTTTTTCTTTTAATGGTTTCTTTTGCTCAACAGTTGTTTTTAATTTTAATGTCCAATTTCTCAAGCCTTTACTTTATGAATCATGCTGTTAATCTTTACTACCAACACCATGAAGTTAATATCCTATATAATTTTTTTGAAGTTGTATTATTTAACTTTCCACATTGAAGGCTACTGTCCACCTGGAATTAATTTTTGTGCATGGTACAATTTTCCCACCATATGTGTGGCCATTCAGTTTGTAGCAATTATTTATTTTTTTAAATGTTTTATTTATTTTTGAGAGAGAGAGATAGAGACAGCATGATCAGGGGAGGGTCAGAGAGAGAGGGAGACACAGAATCCGAAGCAGGCTCCAGGCTCTGAGCTAGCTATCAGCACAAAGCCCGATGCGGAACTCGAACCCACGAACCGTGAGATCATGACCTGAGCCGAAGGCAGCCGCTTAACCCACTGAGCCACCCAGGTGCCTCTGCAGCAATTATTAAAAGAGTTCAACTTTTTATACCATTTTTCAGTTCCACCTTTGTCATAACTCATATATCTATATATTCCTAGATCTACTTCTGGGCCCTATTCTGCAGCTTTGACCTTTTTGTCTATTCTTGTATCAATACTGGCAATGCTGAACTTTACTTGTTTACTTGCTTACAAGTTTACTTATAGTCCTGGAACACAGGGACAGTTAAAGAAATCTCCCACTCCTCTCATTCTGGAAACCTGTAAAGGATCGCCCTTCACCTTCACCATGTGACTTAAAGTATATTCATAGATAACCACCATTCCCACCTCCCAATGTGACTTGACAGCACCATTTGCCACATAGTTTATCCTAAATTCTCCTGGTGTGTCCATTTATATTAGTTGTCTTTATACCCAGAAAAAAATTAAGCTTCTCGTATCTCTATGCCAAGCAAGTAGTTACAAGTTGGAGCCAGTTGCCTGGGCTACATTACCATAGAGACAGGGAGGTAGTGATGCTGCCTTTCTTGAATCATCAAGAGAGATGGCTCGGGGCACCTGAGTGGCTCAATCGGTTGAGCGTCCGACTTCTACTCAGGTCATGATCTCACGGTTCATGAGTTGGAGCCCCGCATCAGGCTTTGTGCTGAATGCTTGCTCAGAGCCTAGAGCCTGTTTCAGATTCTGTGTCTCCTTCTCTCTTTGCCCCTCCCCCGCTCATGCTCTGTCTTACTCTGTATCTCAAAAATAAATAAATGTAGAAAAAAAAATTAAAAGAGATGGCTCCTAGAAAACTTAAGAAAAACACTCCTGCATTGTAAAACTGTCAAGAGGCTGATTTAGCTTCTTTACAGATTTACATAAATCTCAAAGGGATAGAGAAAGAATTTATAAGTTCTTTAAAGGAAATACTCTAAGAAAAGAGATGGAGGAAGTCCTTTTCCCTTTGGTGCCAGGAAAATTTCAGTTCTTTTAGATTTATACGTAACCTTATAATTTCTCCCTTTTGATATTAGTTTTGGTAGTACGAGTCAGACACAGCCCCTCCACATTCCAACTCTTTGTCTGATAAATTGCTACTTGAAGTATTTATCTGCACTGACCCATCAAAGTAAAGTATTTGTTAGTGGAATTGACCAAATTTTAATTAAACTTTCCTCCTACAGGAACCAAAACTTTGTCTTTAACCCAAGCCAACACTGGCAGGTATAATAATCCTTCCTTAACACAAAGAAAGACACTCCCTGAACCTGGCTTCCCTCTCCCAAATGAACGAATGAATGAATGAATGAAAAGTCCCTTTCTGCTTGACTTTTCAGATGTTCGCAGATTTCCCTCTTGCAATAGTTTTCCTCCCCCCCTTTTTTTTTTATTAAATATTTATTTCGAGAGAGAGTGTGCACGCACATGACTGGGAGGTGGGGAGAGGGGCAGAGAGTGGAAGAGAGAGAGAATCCCAAGCAGGCTCTGTCAGCACAGAGCCCAACCAGGGAGTTGAACCCAGGAATCATGAGATCATGACTGGAGCTGAAATCTAGATTTGGATGATCAACTGAATGAGCCACTTAGGCACTCCCTTCCCCTCTTATAATAATCTTTTCACATAAAGGCTTTCCTAAGTCCAGATTTGTTTTTACTTGACAATAACATGCTGTAGTTGTTTTGTTTGTATGTTTGTTTGTTTGTTTTTTACCATGGCTTCATAATAAGATATAATATCTGATAGAGTACAATTTTCCACTTTATACACACCAAGGATAGAGTTCTAATTTTTGTGAGTCTTTCCTAAAGAAATAATCCAAAGTATGTAAAATAATTAATAATTTTCACATTCTTTATAAAACTTAAAACTGCTTTCATAAATTATGATTTATTTACCAAGATAGAATATTAAGCAGTACTGAAATAAAATAACCAGATTAGATAATAATGATTCAAGAACAACCGCCATTACAATCAATAATTCCTTAGATTATGAAATGTAAAAAAAGGGGGGGTGGAAGGGAAATATATCCAAAGCAGTGCTAAAAGACCAAATTCAGCAATCAGAAAAGGAGAAATTCTGAAAAGCTGCTGGAAGACAAAAAAAGCAGACAAGATTGAATTGGCAGAAATAAGAGAGCAGAGGACACCAAAGCCTAAATGATACAGAGGAGAAAACTGATACAAAGATAGAAATGATTGCAAAGTAGTGGAGAGATAGGATGATCTTGAGTTAATAAATTCAGATATCAGTAAAAGGCCCTGTATAAATCCTCAGAGTAATTGAAGGAATCAGCACAGCCAAGTATCAAGTCTCTCTCATATTCCCCCATCTGAATTGTTAGTAGTGATATTATTCTCCAACTTGAAGCCCTGGTTATAGTAGTAATTTTGGCACAAGGCACTCTCAGAGGAACTTGGGTTGGGAGAAGCAAAATAAATCATGAACCATTCCTCCCATCCCCACCCCAAGGGAATAGGGAGCTTTCACACCCAGGAGCTAAACTACCTACAAACCACACACAACCCCACCCGCTGCACCTTCCTTCAAACAACAAAGGGAAGGTTCCTTCTGTGATCAGGGACTGTTTCTACATTCAGACAAAGCTGGACATTGTTAATTTGTGATGGAAACAAAATGGGAAGCACAAAGTTCAGAAATGTGTTGTCTAATACTTACCTCGCATTACCTCATAGGTTTATTATATTCTCTCACGGTGTCCTTTTGGCATAGAAGATGGGAAGAAAAAGTTTGGGATTGAAAGACTACTAACTTCTAATACCTATTCATCTGCCTATCCACTCCATGATGTAAGTATAAGCTTGGTTTTGAAATACTTAATGCCTTTTTCCTCTCCCACATTCAGAGGTTGCCTTGTTGGGAGAGAGAATTTTCCCTTTGCTTCTTCTTTAAGACAGGTTGCTTAATTCTTTCTCATGTTGGGAAAATCCCCCAAAGATTTCCTAGTTCTAAGCTGAGAACTTTAACAGCTATGCTGAAGCGCATAGTTAATACGTCTTTACATTGAGGTTTTAGTGGAAATTTATTTTAAAAACTATTACATTTGTGTGTGAATTTTCTTTAGAACTCATATTGAAAATAGCAGTTTTATTAAAAGAACACTACAGAATAGAATATGTGGACATTTCTGTGAGTCCATCAGATCTTTTCTAATTTATCAAGTTTTTTTTAATGTTTTATTTATTTCTGAGAAAGAGAGAGAGAGAGAGACAGTGACAGTGTTAGCCAGGCAGGGTCAGAGAGAGAGGGAGATACAGAATCTGAAGCAGGCTCCAGGCTCTGAGCTAGCTGTCAGCACAGAGCCCGACGCAGGGCTCCAACCCTTGAACTGTGAGATCATGACCTGAGCTGAAGTTGGACGCTTAACTGACTAAGCTACCCAGGCCCCCCTAATTTATCAAGTTTTGAATCCATAAAGGACTTAATGTCTTAAACTACACTTACATGCTTTCATGTATTCATTTATTAGATACATAGGTGGTTTAAATTATAGGCATTTTCTTGTGTGTGTGTGTGTGTATGTAGTTTTTGGGTTTTTTTTTACAAATTGAATCAGGTTTGTGGCAACCCTGTGTTGAAAAAGTCCATTGGTGCCATATTTCCAACAACAATCACTAATTTCATGCCTCATTTTTTAATTTATTTAAAAAAAATAGTTTTAAATGTTTGTTTGTTTTTGACAGAGAGAGAGAGACAGAATGTGAGTGAGGGAGAGGCAGAGATGGAGACACATAATCTGAAGCAAGCTTCAGGCTCTGAGCTGTCAGCACAGAATCTGACACAGGGCTCAAACCCACGGATCGCAAAATAATGACCTGAGCTGAAGTTGTACGTTTAACCAACTGAGCCACCCAGGCACCCCTCATGTCTTGTTTTTTTGAGACGTGAATTTTTTGGTTTCCCACTGCATATATGAATTGTTTACACAATACTGCAGTCTGTTTGCAATAGCATTAGGTCTAAAACAACAATGTACATACCTTAATTGAAAAATACTTCATTGCTAAAAAAATGCTAACCATCATCTGAGCCGTCAGCAAATTGTAGTCTTCTTGCTGGTGGAGGGTTTTGCTTCTGGACAGCTAAGAACTGATTGCTGAAGGTTGGAGTGGCTGTGGCAATTTGTCAAAATAAGACAGTGAAGTTTGCCACATTGATTTGATTCTTCCTTTCACAAACAATTTCTCTATAAGATGAGATGCTTTTTGATGAACTAGGTCTCTTTACTACTGTCTAGTTGATTAAGCAGAATTTTCCTAAATGGGTGGCAGTTTTTTTTTAATATTTTAATTTTTAAAAAAAATTTTTAAAAATGTTTATTTTTGAGAGAGAGAGAGAGAGAGAAAGAGAGCGCAAGTGGGTAAGGGGCAGAGAGAGAGGAAGACACAGGATCTGAAGCAGGCTCCAGGCTCAGAGCTGTCAGCACAGAGCCTGACACGGGGCTCAAAACCATGAACTGTGAGATCATGAACTGAGCCAAAGACGCCCGCTTCACTGACTGAGCCACCATGGCACAACAAATGGGTGGCCGTTTTTAACAGGAGTGTCAATTCAGGCGAATCTAATTTAAGTGTTAGAGATCTCATCCTCCTTCGCCAGCCCTCTCCTTCCTTTCACACACGTATTTCTTTCCCCTGGGACAAAAGAATTTCTAAGGGATTATAGATTCAAAATCATGCCATGACCATTCAGTAGAGAGATATATATAGTGGGCTAATAAATACTTCACAATGCATTCTCTTGTCTGTCTTCATAGAAATAAAAGTCTTTTTGAAGATTTTGACAATTACTTGTTTTTAGGGCATTGATTCTCTTCTAACTATTACCAAACTAATATCCTCTGTCACCAGCAGCTTTAATCCATAAATCTAGCCTTCCCACAGGGTTCTTTATGATCACTAGAAAGCTTAGTTACCTGTTGTTAGGGATAGTTGTAACTTAACATTAATTTTACTTTTTTTTTCTTTTTTCCTATCCTGAATGCAAGTCTAGATACTAGAGTTTCCCTTATGTGCTTTGAAGAATGGTTTTTCAAGAACCCAAATAGGCTGCCTTTTTATTTCTTTTATTTCTCAAGATTCAGTAGGATTAGTTACAGAAGAAGGAAAAAGAGGGAATCTACGTGATAGAAAAATCTTCCATCTTATATAGGGATTTTCCCATGTGCTTAATTTAAATTGGATCCTTATCCATTTGTCTTCAGCAGTTCATTTGTCTGGGCCAAAAGTTAAAAGAATGTGTTGAACCATCTTGTGTAGATAGTACTTTGCTCTGTCCTGAAGGGGTATTAATAAAGCTATTCAATTTGTAACAATGGGGAAAATCTCGGGCATGAAACAATACTGAGGTTCTTTGGTGCTGAAGTTTGTGACACATATTTTAAGTTTTCTGGCAAAGGGTGGCAGTGATTGCCAGGGTGGACCAGATGAGTTTTCTGGAAGAGATTCCCATCATAGCAGTATGACTTTGGATCATTCACTGGACGTTGCTTGGGTCTAATGTTTCTATACATAAAAGTGTTAACCTGTTTCTAATGTCCCAGCCCGTTATATAGTTATATGAACCCCTGAGCTGTGAATATTCTAGTAGAATTTGAGTAGAGAAGAAAGGGCATTCCACATGAAAGAGCAGCTTGAATAAAGCCAAAGCTTCAAACTTTAACTTGTAGTTTTAAATAACTCGGTGTGAGAATTTAATGCATCCCTATTGTCATAGTTTGTTGTAGATTTGGGGAGATAATTGCACATCAATGGAATATGAAAATCCAAATCTAAAAGTAAAAGAGAACCGTTGCTTCATTCACTAAACTTCTTACGAAAGAGTATTAATTTACTGCACCCTCATCTTTTGCTTTGTCATTCAAGTACCTTCATTTTGACTATCTGTAGGGTCAATATTGGAAGCCATCAGAACCTCCTAACCCTGTCAACGAGAGGCACATACTTTGCCAGAATTGGGCTCGGTTTTCCTATTTTTACAAGGAGCAGCCTTTAGATTTGATTAGGTAAGTTCCTTATACACTATCAAACTGATTAAAACTTGATGATGTGACTTTTATTCAAAGTGGTATCATATTCCATTCTTTTCACTGCTGTTTTCACCCACTACATGTTACATCTTCCCAGTTTTGTATCCACTCTTGGTCATTCATTTGTGAGCAGAATGCTATCGGTGGAACGCGCTTAACCACCATGCAGAGGTAGCTCAGTAGTTCAGAGGCTGGGCCTTGGTATTTAGGGTGGGCTGGGTTCAGATCCAAGTTGGTCAAATTATTTAACCTTGTGAGGCTCATCAGTAAAATGGGAATAACAATGGTACTTTCCTTATGGGGTTATTTAATAATAAAATGAGAGAATGTATATATATATATGTATAAATATATATATGTATAAATATATATATGTATAAACCTATATACATATATATATTTAGCACAGGGAGTAGCACTTAGTGCTTAATACATATTAGCTTTGTTTTGTTTTGTTTTTCTCTGAGTCCAGGAATTTAGAAGACAGCAGAAAGGTTGTGTATGGACGTGTGTGTGTGTGTGTGTGTGTGTGTGTGTGCGCGCGCGCACGCGTGAGTGTAGATCTCAGAGATCTGGGAAGGCATTTGTCCTGTGACCATTTCATTGGCTAAGCAAGAAGACTTTAATGGCAGGTTCCTGCTTTGCACAATAACAATACTACATACATACAGGATGTTAGGAGACTCTTGCTATGATTTCAGTAAAGGAACCATAAGATTAGACCTCTGGTTGTTACAGACCTTGTGTTTCACTCGATTTATGCTTGTAGTAGTATGTTTATATAGCATCCCAGTATCCTTTTTATGAGACTGATTTGGATGCATACATCCGAACAGGTGAAAAGTTAGCCCAGTTGGTTTGTTTAAGGCAAAAAGGAAGGGAAATTTTTAAGAATAAATGAAAGGGGCACCTGGGGGTCTCAGTCGGTTAAGCATCGACTTCAGCTCAGGTCATGATCTCGCAGCTCGTGGGTGGGTTCAAGCCCCGCATTGGGCTCTGTGCTGACAGCCTGGAGCCTGCTTCAGATTCTATGTCTCGCTCTCTCTCTGCCCCTCCCCTGCTCATCTCTGTCTATATCTGTCCCTCAAAAATGAATAAATGTTAAAAATTTTTAAAAAAGAATAAATGAGAGGCAGATAGCATATATAAGCTGGTACTTTTAGTAAATCATTGTCTAAACTGTTTGTTCGATGGATGTTTTAATTGTTTTGAATAATGGTCACTTCATTCTTAAATGACAAAAGTAGCACATTTATAAAAAATTCAAATAATAAAGGGGTGCAAAGTTTTTTTCTAGTTTATTTTGAGGTGTCTCTCAAAATTGGTTTGTTTGCATATAAGTGCAAGCACAAGCAAGGTGCTTTCAGAGAGAAAGGGAGAGAGAGAATTCCAAGCAGGCTCTGCACCCGCAGCACAGAGCCCAGTGCAGGGCTCAAGCCCATGAACCGCGAGATCGTGACCTGAACCAAAACCAAGAGTACCCAGGCACCCCAAGATGTGCAAAGTTTTCAGTGAAATTCTACCTCTATTGAACTTTGCAGAAGTGGCTGCTCTTGATCTGGTATATCTGTTCAGTTCTTTTTTTATGTGCATGCATAGTAAAATGCATACACAATCATATTTTTTCCTTAGAAAAACAATGACATCTTTAGTTACCTTTTTGCTGCAATTTTCTTTTTGTACTAAATAATACATTATTGGTACTCCTCCTATGAATACATGCAGATCTATCTCATGCTCTTTAAGAGAACACAGAGTGCCATATAATGAATTTTGCATAATTCATTTATCTGGTTTTCTACTGAAAAACGGGCTGTCCCAGATTTTTCACTGTTACAAATGTGTTGCTAAGAACGCTTGTCGACATTGTGCCCTTGGAGGATATTTTCCTCGCATATTTTCAAAGAAGCAAAGTCATCTGAATGAAGGTTTTCATAGTTACATCGCTCAAAATATATTGAAAATATGTATTCATTTAACATTTTAAAACTATCAGCAGGTGTTCCTGCTATGAGTACTCCCCAAAGATTTGTATTTATAACCCTAGATGCACACAAACTCATTACATCGTAGATCAGTGCCAGTGTATCTGTAATACTTCATTAGCCCTTGCTAATTTCCTTTAAAAACAAAGTCGAGGCTCAGGTATTTAATCAGATGACAGTGTCTACCTGAAATTTAAGAGCTTTTAAGTTTTTCATTTTCTTATTATAATAACTTATAATTTGCAGCAAGTTATACTCCCTTTTCCATTTCAACAGTGAAATATTTTTACATAAATGTAAATTTTTAACAAAATTTAATGTAAATAAATGATAACTTAGGTGAAAAGTTTTTAACTAGGTAACTGAAAAGACAAAAAAGAAAACTCTCTGTTATCACAGTGGTAGCAATTGCAGAAAACAGCTGCAATTATTATCCCTAGGGTTTCTTTTTAGTGGTTATCTAAGATAATATACTTTTTCTAGGAACAAACAATGAAGTATTTAGGGGTAGAGGATCATATCATATTCAACCAACTGACTTTCAAAAGGCTCATAAAAAGATATCTAAATCTATATAGATATATCAATGGACAAAAGATTATAACAGATTATAATATATCTATATAGATATATTAATGGACAAAAGAGTATAACAGATACTGCACCAAAGAAAGGTATTTATGGATGGCCAATTAGTACATCAAAAGATGCATAACATCTGTATTCACTAGAGGAATATATCTATCTGTACCGATATCTATATCTATAACCATATTTCTATATACCTGTATCATCTAAAGATCGATATATATAGATGTATAGATAAACATATATCTTTTATATCTATATATATGGAAAGAAAATTTTGCAAATGCAACAATATTTTTACAATAAAAAAATTAATATATGGAAGTTATTTGAATTATTCTTGCAACTTTTCTATATATTTGAAATTATTTCCAAATGAAAACGTTAATAAAAGGAGAGTCCAAAAGTAGATTCACACATATATGGTCAAATGATTTTCAACAAAACTGCATGGTTATTCACTGGAGAAAGGATAGTCCTTTAAACAAATGATGTTAGAACAAATAGATATCCATATACAAAACATGAATCTTGATCCTTTCCTATACAGAAATTTAAACTAACTTGAATGGGTCAAGGAACTTAGTGTAAGGGCAAAAATATAAACTTTTGGGGGCACCTGAGTGGCTTAGTCGATTAAGCCTCCAACTTTGGCTCAGGTCTGATCTCACTGTTTGTGAGTTCGAGCCCCATGTCAGGCTTTGTGCTGACAGTTCAGAGCCTGGAGCCTACTTCAGATTCTGTGTCTCCCTTTCTTTCTGACCCTCCCCCACTCACACTCTGTGTGTGTCTCTCTTTCTCTCTCTCTCAAAAAAATAACATAAAATAATAAACATTAAAAAAATTAAAAATACAAAACATCTAGAGAATACTAGGAGAAAAATTTCTATGGCCTGGGATTAGACATAGACTTTTCACAAAAGACAAAGTCCAATTTAAAAATACATAAATCTGACTTAATTAAAATTAAATATGTCTGCTCTTTAAAAGACACTTTTAAAAATAAAAAGGCAAACCATAGACTGGAGAAAATACTTGCAACATACATATCAGTAAAGTACATCTAGAATATTGAGGGAACTCTTTAGAATTCAGTGATGAGACAAAATTATTTAAAATGGACAAAAGATTATAACAGATACTGCACCAAAGGAAGATACTTATGGATGGCCAATTAGTACATCAAAAGACGCATAATACCTGTATTCACTAGAGGAATAAGAGTTAAAATGTTTGCCATTGAGATACCACTACACCACCCACTATAATAACTAAAATCTAAAAGATTGACAACAAGAGCTGACAGGGGTGTGGAGCAACTTGAAATCTCAGAGTGCTGCTAGAATGCAAAATGGAGTAGCAACTGTACAAAAAAAAAAAATTGACACTTTCTTTTCACATTAAATACCCATTTCTGTATACTCAGCAATTCTGCTACTCTTTGCCCAGGACAAAAATAGCATATATGTCCACAAAAACACCACTGTTTGAATGTTTATAGCAGATTAATGAATAATAAGAAAAAATTGGAAACAACCCAAAAGTCCATCAGTTGGTAAATGGATGAACGAATTACCATGTATTCATACAATGGATTTTTTTTTTCTCTGAGAGAAATTACAGATACATGTAACATCAGAGGATGAATGTTAAAAGCATTATGCTAAGGAGAAGAAGCAGGCCAAGAAAGGCTGTGTAGTCTTATGTTTCCATTTATCAAACACTATTCTGGAAGAGGTAAAGTTATAGGGACCTAAATTAAAATAGTGGTTGCCCAGATCTGGGGTTGGGGAAGGGGTTCACTGCAAAGGACCATAAGGGAACTTCTTGAGATGATGGAAATGCTCTCTGTGTTGACTGTGTGGTGCATGCATCTGAACTTACCAAATTACACATGTAGGTGTATTCTATCGTATATGAGTTACACCCCAGTCAGTTTGATTAAAAAACAAAAAGAGAAAAACCCCACCACTCCTCTTAAAGGATTAACTTTCTGGGACTGAGGGTGAGATGGGGTTTGGTGGATTCCTTCTTGGAGAAATGAGCACTGTTGGCCCAGAGGAGCTGCAGTCCTTAACACAGTGACCTGGAGATGGTGTTGAACGCTGCCCCCTAAAGATAATCCCAGTATAGCTGCGACAAGTCTGGGAAATTCCCCAGGACCCGAAAAGGAAATGACCCAGGAGATGAGGGCCAAGACCTGCAGTTGTGCAGGTAGGAAAGTGGCAGATGAATAGTGGATTCCTCGATGAACACAATGTGATCTTATTTATACCACGTACCCATCATCAAGCTGCGGTTCCTCAGCTGCAGCCCACCTTTCTATAATCTGCTTCATGACCTTGAGGCTGGAACTCTCAATATCACGAGTTTGCTTTGCCACTTGGCTCACTGGGACTCAGC